TCAAAGTTGTCTTAATTTGTATTTCTCTAAAAAAAATAGTGATTTAGGGGCATTTTTAAAAAAATGATTACATATGGTTTTGATTTCTTCCTCAAAAAACTGCTTGTTCATATCCTTTGACCATTTATCAATTGGGGAATGACTTGTATTCTTATAAATTTCACAAAGTTCTTTATATATTTGATATGTGAAACTTTTATCTGAGAAACTGTCTATAAAAATTTTCTCCAGTTTTCTGTTTTCCTTCTAATCTTAGCTTCATCGGTTTTATTTGTACAAACCTTTTTAGATTTAATGTAATAGAAATTATCCATTTTATACCTCACAATGCTATCTCTTGATTATTCATAATCCACAAGTCTGATAGGTAATGTGTTCCATGTTCCATTTTGACCTTATCTTGGTAAATGGTGTAAAATACTAGTCTATGCCCAATTTCTGACAGACTGCTTTCCAGCTTTCTCAATTTTTTTTTTTTTACCAAATAATGAATTCTTATCCCCAAAGCTTAAATCTTAACATTTGTCAAACAAAAGGTTACTACAATCATTTGCTACTGTGTATTCTGTCTACTCTATTCCACTGATCTACCTTTTTATTTCTTAGCCAGTACCAGATAGTTTGGTAATTACTGCCGTATAGTATAGTTTAAGATCTCATACTGCAAACCTCCTTCCTTTACTTTTTTTTTTATTAATTCCTTTGATATTCTTGACTTTTTATTCTTCCAAATGAATTTTGTTATTATTTTTTCTAGCTCATTAAAATAGTTTTTTGATAATTTAATTGGGATGGCATTGAATAGATAAGTGAGTTTAGATAAAATTGTCATTTTTATTATATTGGCTCTGATTACCCATGTACAATTAATATTTCTCCAGTTATTTAAATCTGACTTCATTTTTAATTATCGTCATGCAGTTCTTGAGTTTGTTTTTGGAGGTATACTCTCAGGTATTTTATACTTTCTACTGTTATTTTAAATGGGGTATCTCTTACTATCTCTTCTTTCAGGTTTTTGTTGGAGATATAAAAAATGCTGATGATTTATGTGGGTTTATTTTATATCTGGCTACTTTGTTAAAATTGTTTCCATTTTTATTTGAATCTTTAGGATTTCCCAAGTTTATCATCATATATTCTGCAAAAAGAGAAAGTTTTATTACCTCATTGCCCATTCTGATTCTTTCATTTTCTTTTTCTTCTTTTATTGTTATTGCTAGCATTTCTAATACAATATTGAAAAGTAATACTGGTGACAATGGGCATCCCATCAATTTCTTGTTTTACTCCTGATCTTCTTGGGAAGGCTTCTTTCTAGCTTATCCCCATTGCAAATGATGCTTGCTGGTGGTTTTAGGTAGATGCTTCTTATCATTTTAAGGAAAAATCCCTTTTTACCTATGTTTTCAAGTATTTTTAATAGGAACAAGTGTTGTATTTTATCAAAAGCTTTTCTGCATTTATTGATATAATCATATGATTTTTGTTACTTTTGTTATTGATATAATCAATTATGTTAATAGTTTTCCTTATTTTGAACCATCCTTGCATCCCTGGTATAAATCCCACTTGGTCACAATGTATAATCTTTGTAAGATATTGTTGTAGTCTCTTAGCTGGTATTTTATTGAGGGTTTTTGCTTCCATATTCATTAATGAATTGATCTATAATTTTCTTTTTCTGTTTTTGTTCTTTCTGGTTTAGGTATCAGTACCACATTTCTTTCATAAAAGTAGTGTGGTAAGACTCCTTTGCCTATTATTCCAAATAATTTAATATTGGAATTAGTTCATCATTTTAAACGTATGGTAGAATTCACTTGTAAATTCATCTGGTCCTGATGCTTTTTTCTTAGGAAGCTCATTTACAATATGTTCAATTTCTTTTTCTAAAATAGATTTATTTAGATATTCTATTTCCTTTTCTGTTCATCTAGGCAGTTTGTATTTTTCTAAGTATTCTTCCATTTCACTTAAATTGTTAAACTTCTTGGCATATAATTGGGCAAAATAACTCCTTTTAATTGCTTTGATTTCATCTTCATTAGTGGTATGTTCACTCTTTTAATTTTTAATATTAGTGATTTGGTTTTCTTCTCCCTTTTAAAAAATTATATCAACCAATGGTTTATCTTTTTTTTCCAAAAAACCAATTCCTAGTTTTATTTATTAATTCAATGGTTTTCTTACACTCAATTTTATTAATCTCACCTTTAATTTTTAGGATTTCCAATTGGGTGTTTAATTGGGGATTTTAATTTGTTCTTTTTCTGTTTTCTAATTACATACCCAATTCATTGGTCTGCTCTTTCTCTATTTTATTAATGTAAGCATTTCGGGATATAAATTTTCCTGTATCTACTGCTTTTGCTGCATCCCAGAGGTTTTGATATGTTGTTTCATTATTGTCACTCTCTTGAATGAAATTATTGTTTCTATAATTTGTTCTTTAACCCAAATATTCTTTAAGATTAGGTTGTTCAGTCTCCAGTTAGTTTTTAATCCATGTTTCCATGGTCCCTTATTGAATATAGTTTTTATAGAATTGTGATCTGAAAAGGATGCTTTTAACATTTCTGCTTTCTGTATTCAGCCATAAAGTTTTTATGCCCTAATATATGGTCAATTCTTGTAATGTACTTCTGAGAAAAAAGTGTATTCTTTTCTATTCCCATTCAGTTCTCGCAGGATATCTATTGTATCTAGCTTATCTAAGATTCTATGTACCTTCTTAGTTTCTTTCTTATTTATTTTTTTGTTAGATTTATCTACTCTGAGAGGGGAAGGTTAAAGTCCCCCACTATTATAGTATTTCCACCTGTAATTCATTTAACTTTTCCTAAATTTAGGTACTATAGCATTTGGTGCATATAGGTTTAGTATTGATATTGCTTCATTTTCTTTGGTACCTTTTATTGTAATGTAGTTTCCCTGTTTATCTCTTATTTTAAAATATTTTAGCTTTAACATTGTGTGAGATCATGATTAATACCCTGCTTTTTTTTTCTAACCTCAGCTGAAGCATAGTAAATTCTACTCTAGCCCTTTATTTTAACTCTGTGTGTATCTTTCATATTTAAATGTGTTTCTTCAAAACAAGATATTGTCGGAGTCTGATTTTTAATCCATTCTGCTCTCCGTTTGTTTTATGGATGAGGCCATCCCATTCCCATTCAAAGTTATGATTACTAGGTGTGTATTTTCCTTCATCCTATTCTTCTTCTCTGTTATCCTTTTCACCCTCTTTTTACTCTATCCCCCATCATAAATCTGATTTACCTAATCCACACCCTTTTAAAGAATCTCTCCCTTATCCTTCCCCCCACCCTCCTACTTCTTTATCTACACACCCTTCTAAAAGTCCTTTCCTTATCCTGTCCTCTCACCCTCCTCTTTCTTTATAAATTTAGGAGACTTTTATGCCCTTCTAGATGTACATGTTATTCTCTCTTTAACCCAGTTCTGAGGAGAATAACATTCCAGAACTACCAGCTCTCCACCCCCTTCCACTGTAACAGTTCTTTCATTCATGCCTTGTTTGTATGAGATAAGTGCTCCATTTCACCTCAGCCAACCCAGTTTTATTTTTTAGAATCATCCCATCATACCCAACTCAACTCCTAGCCTTCTATCTGTGTATGTTCTTTCAAACTACCCACGTAATGATGACGTTCTTAAGAGTACAGATAACATTTTCCCACATAAGAGTAGACAGTTTGACTTTATTGAGTCTTGGTCTTTAATGTTTGCCTCATGTTTCTCTTGGATCTTATATGTCATATTTTCCATTGAATTCTGATCTTTTTGTCACAAATAGCTGAAAGTCTTTCAATTCATTCATTAAATGTCCATTTAAAAAAAAATAAGGATTATACCTCACTTTGCTGGCTAAGTTATTCTTGGTTGCAAACCCAGCTCCTTTGCTCTTTGAAATAAAATGTTCAAGTCCTTCCTCTTTAGTCTTTTAATGTAGAAGCTGCTAGATCTTGTGTTATCCTGACTGTATTTAAACTGTTTTTTCCTTGTTGCTTATAGTATAGAAATGGGCAAGGGGAAGCTAATGATGTTATAAGATAGCAAGAAATAATAAAACAAAATCAAAAGAATGAAAAAATAGAAGAGAAGGTGAAACATCTCATTAGAAAAACAACTGATCAAGAGAACGATTTGAGGAGAAACAATATAATAATTGTTGGACTACCTGAAAGTTATGATTTTAAAAAGAAGAGTTTGGATACGATATTACAAGAATTCATTAAGGAAAAGGAAAATTATCCTGTAGTTCTAGAATGAGAGGGTAAAATAAAAATAGAAAAAAATCCATCAATCACCACCTGAAAGGTATCCCCAAAAGAAAACTCACAAGAACATCGTGGACATCTTTCAAAGTTCCAGGGTTAAGGAAAAAATACTATTAGGACTTGAACATTGTATTTCGAAGAGCAAAGGAGCTGGGTTTGCAGTGTAGGGAGTTACGCAGCTCAAATCACTGCTGTGTTTGCCATATCTCTATGTCGTGTATGTTTAAAAAGGGGAGAGGTCAAGATTTTGTGGTCTGCATGTATGTATGCCTGTGTCTACATACACAGATATACATACATCCGTACACGTGTAGGGATGGGGGAAGAGGAGGAGGGTGAGAGCTGCTTCTTCATCGACAGGTGCATATTCCCATCCCAGTTACTCTTTCGGACCCTAACAGTGTGAGGGATTGCCCCCAGTCACCAGCTAGTGTGAGAGGAGCAATTTCAATCCATGGCTTCCTGATTCTAACGCTGCCCCACTTCCCAGTAAGTGCTCTTGTACTTCTATTAATTTTTTTAAACTTCAGCCATGTTTTATTTAATATTTGAGTAAAGTTACACAACATTCGTTGTATTTATAGCCTTTTAAAGCATGACTTATATTATTTTAACAAATTAAAGGAAACTAACTACCCTAAGCAACATATCAAATCTATGACAGTAATACGATTAAAAAACATAGAAATGACTTACTTAGAAACTTGTTTTCATAGGTTTTTGGCTGATTGCACAATAGCAAAGCCTGCATCGGTTGAAGGACCTTCGATTTCTCCATAAGTGGGTGTCCAGTAATAATGTTTTTTAATGCCGTGAGACAGCTCAGCAAGATATACACAGCCATCAACTTCATAGGGCTCCACGTCTGTATTCTCTTTTTTTAGACGACCCGATGTTATTAAGTTTGAAAATGCCTAGGATTTTAAACAAATAGTATTTGCAGAAGATTAATGGTGTGATTCAAGTTTAAATATTTTAACTTTTACCACATTTTATATCAAAATTTAAAAATTAAGCCTTGAAGTTTTACAGGTGGGGGGGCTTTATAGATATAATTCCTTTACTGTTTAACATCATACAATCAAAGCATTCTAAATCACTTTAATCTATGCTGGAAAAGGTATTTCTCAGTGTCTCACACATTATTTTTCCTTCTTTATCTTTGAAACCTCTTCATTTTCATGGCTGGTTAACAATTCTTTGCATTGTTCATTATGGTGGATGGGCAGTTATCCTGTCCGTCAGCAGTGCCAGCATTGAGGATTCCTTCAGGACTCCAGCCCCTTGAGAGAGCTCCTTCAATAGAAAACAATACACCCTATTCTTCACCATTTGTCCCTTTAGCTTTCCCCTCTAAGAAGATACTTTTGGGGCTGGGGTTTGGGGAAGGAAACCACAGAAGCTCCTGCCACTTTGGGTGCATTATTGCTCTTGGATTAGGGGAAAGTTTCTTCTCTCCTCCCTCTTGAAATGTGCTCAAAACTTATGTTAATTCTGTTCCCATGTTGGGAAGAAATACAGTTCTCAGGACCTGCAACTTAAGTCCCCTTGCAAGACAGTCAACTTAACCACACCAAAAGAACAATTACTTTTGTGTATTTTGATGAGTACCCTATAATATCTTGGAAATCAGACTTTAAAGAATCTTGAGGTAAAGATTTTTTTCTAGGCTGTTTCATTTTTAATTTGAACTACATTTTGATTTGTACAAAGACTTTTCAGTTTTATGTGATCAAAATTGTCCATTTTAATCTTCTGTGATCATATTAATCCCATTGTTTGGCCAAATACTTTTCTCCTGTCTATACATTTTATTTTTTGTACTTATTTAATAGTATTTTTCCAGTTACTTGTAAAGATACTTTTCAACATTCATTTGTTGTAAGATTTTGAGTTTTGAATTTTTCTCTCCCCCTCTCCTCATCCTTTCCCAAGATATCAAGCAATCTGATATAAGTTATACATGTACACATTACAGACTAATGTTCCACATTAGTCATATACTGAAAGAAGAATCAGAACAAAAGGGGAAAAACCACAAGAAAGAAAAAAAAAACCAAAAAAGTGAAAATAGCATGCTTCAATTCGCATTCAGATTCCAAAGTTCTTTCTCTGGATGTGGGTAGCAATTTCCATCATGAGTCTTTTGGAATTGTCTTGGATCACTGTATTGCTGAGAAGAGCTAAGTCTATCATAGTCTATCACTGCACAACGTTGCAGTTACTGTGTACAATGTTCTCCTGCATCAGTTTATACAAGTCTTTCCAGGTTTTTCTGATGTCTGCTCATCATTTCTTATAGAACAACAGTATTTCATTACATTCATATACCACAACTTTTTCAGCGATTCTCCAATTGATGGGTATCCCCACAAATTTCAATTCTTTGCCACCACAAAAAGAGCTGCTATAAATATTTTTGTACAAATAGGTCCATTTCCTTTTTTTATGATCTCTTCAGGATACAGACCTAGTAGTGATATTGCTGGATCAAAGGGTCTGCACAACTTGGTTGCCTTTGGGCATAGTTCCAAATTGTTCTCCAGAATGGTTGGATAAGTTCACAACACCAACAATGCATTAGTGTTCCAATTTTCCCACATCTTTTCCAACATTTGTCATTTTCCTGTTTTGTCATGTTAGCCAATCTGATAGCTGTGATGTGGTACCTCAGAGTTGTTTTGATTTGCATTTCTTTAATTAATAGGGACTTAGAACATTTTTTCATATGACTATAGCTTTAATTTCTTCATCTGAAAACTGCCTGTTCATATCCTTTGACCATTTATCAATTGGGGAATGACTTGTATTCTTATAGAGTTTTCTTAATACTGAACCAACCCTGTATCCTTGGCACCATAATTGCCTTTTTTCGATATTTTATTAAATATTTTTGCATCAAGATTAATGAGGGACAATTATCTATGGTTTTCTTTCTCTGCTTTGTCTCCCCCTTGGTTTAGGTATTAAGATCATATTTCTATCATACAAAAAATGTGGTAGTATTTTGGCAAATAGCTTATGCAATACTGAAATTGTTTCTTGAATGTTTGATAGAATTCACCTGTAAATCCATTTGCTCCTGGTTTGTTTTTGTTTTTGGTCCTTTGGCAACTCATTTATGGTTTATAAAATTTCCTGTTCTGAGACTGGGCTATTTAAAATCTTTATTTATTATTTTTTAGTCTATTTTATATCTCTGTAAATGTTTATCAATTTCATTTGTTTTCAATTTTGTTCTCATGTAACTGGGAAAAGTAGTTTCTAATAATTTCCTTTCTTTCCCCTTCTCTTCTCGTTTCCTGTTCCCACCACATTTCCCTATTGAGTTTGATGTATTACTGCAACTATCCCTTTGTGTATGTGTGTGTGTTGTGTGTGTGCTCAATCCTTTATCCAATTCAGATGAGAGATATCTCTGTGATGCCTGCTCCCCTAAACCCTTCCTTTATTCTTATATTTTTGACATATATTTTAATTATGAAAAAGCTAAGACTAGGCTCCATCCCCTCCTGTAAGCTTGAATGGGGTTGGGCAGTCCCTGTTTGGTTCTGTCTTTGTTTTCCTGAGTTCTTTCCACTGTCCTCTACTACCTCTTGTATGTTTGTGCTGAGAGCTCTGCAGGTGGTTGTCCCAGGTCAGGGCATTGCCATGATCTTCTACCCCTGATGAGGCTTCCTGGTTGGGGATGCCACTATCTTTCATGAGGTTGCCCTGGTTCAGGCACACTGGGATTTTTTGCTGCTCTTTCCTCATAGGTTTCCCCAATCAGGGTGCTGCACTGGCTTCTGACTTTTTAACCAGCACTTGGGCTAGATTCTCTGAAAAGATGCTTCCACAGCTTCTGTCTTGCTATGCAATCCTAGGCTGGATAAAGGTGCTTACTCCTGTTTCTCTTTGGATTTCTTGGTCATTGTTCAATTTGGGCTCTTTTCAGATCATTTAGGGAGCACAAGTGGAAAGACCTTTCATATAACCAACTTATGCTGAAGAATGAAATTTCTAACTTCTATTTTTTCTTTCACTTCTTCACAAGCTTGAAGTAAATGAAAGAATCATTTATTAAGCATTAACCAAATGTGAGGGAAGTATTGTTCTAAGTGCTGGGGACACCTGCCCTCAAGGGGAGAGAACATATAAATAACAAACTATGCATCAACGAATATGGATCAAAGAAATCTTGTCTACTGAAATTTCAGTCACAGAAGTCACCAATATAAGTAGGTTTTAGAACTTCAGGTTTTTTATCAAAATCTTTAAATCTCACAAAGGGAATCAGAATCAACTCTGACAAGATGTAGGTAACATGCTTGTGTTTCATAGGAGTATCTTCTAATAGAGAAAGAGAATCACAAAATGCAAATAGTGAAAAAAAGAATACTTACCACACACGTTTCACTATCAAGTTTGTTTCCCCAGATGTAAATATTAGTAAGTGTGGTATTTGTTTTCATTGATTCTGAAAAAGCAGTAAGTCCCTTTCCAGTTATGTTATTGCTTACTATAGATAACCTAAAGAGAAAATGATAATGTATTAGGTACCTAGAAATCCAAAGATCCATGAAGAATTACAAATTCATGATTTATGAAATCTGTTGCTAAAACAATTTGCTTAATCTAATGTCTTAGCATTAGTCTTTAAAGGGTTTCATAGTGGGTAGCTCGGTGGCAAAATGGAGAGAGCACTGGCCCTGGAGTCAGGAGGACCTGAGTTCAAATCCCGTTCCAGCCACATAGCTTACTAGCTGTGTGACCCTGGGCAAGTCACTTAACCCCAGTTGCCCCCCACACACACCCCAATGTTAAAGTAAAGTGTTTCATAGTTTGTGGCTTATAATTAATCTACCATTTATTTCTAAAAAAGTAAGAACTTAAAATTATCCCCAATTGGATGCATCAAAATACGATGCCTTTTAATTAAGCTACACTTTGAGTCTAGATTGTTAACCTGTTCTTTTAATAAACAAATTATTTTTTTAAATGTCTGACCTTTTTATTTGAGTGTTATGATTGAAGAGTTATATACAGTTAAACCGATTTAAAGTCCCTCCGTTGAAATGTAGCAGGGACAGATGGAGGGAAGGAGTGTTGTTCAGTGTCGGGGCGGGGGCGGGGGGGGGGGAGGTTTGGAACACTGCAAGACAAGAATCTGATTGGATGAATTGACAACAAACCTCCTAACTTCTAGAAAGACCAGTTGTCATTAACACCAAGGTTTGCAGCTAGACAGACAGTGAGCCTGTCCCTTCTGACATAGCAAATGCACTTTCCTTCGACTTCATTTAACCATGTACCTATGTAATGCTAAAGACATTCCTGCAAAGAAAGCATTCTTAAAGACAAGGATTTTCTGGTTTAATTCTTGAGAAGGGTTTATAACTAGAATCAAATAAAGATAAATTTTTAAATAATTTGCAAAGCCAAGAACATACTGGAATATATTTTCATAATTTATGAGGTACAGGTGAGTATTTAAGTATTTAAAGCTATATGATAAACTTTTGGACAAAGAGGAAAGTTTAAAATAACAATAACAACAACAACAACGTCATTTAATGATAATAAAAAAGAACTACCAAAAAAATTCAAATTCAAACCCAAAATGGGCATCAACATTAGGGTCCTGTTACTGTCTTCTATCAGTAACAGGTTTTTCTGAAATGAAATAAATCCTAACAATTTTTAGATCTATACTAACGCTTTCAGACTTGTGTTATAAAAAGCCAAGGCTTCGGTCAGATACATGGAACCCTCATCTTCGATGCTGTTTGAAGAAAGATCTATCACTTCCAATACGTCATTCCTTTTCAGTAGTTCTCCCAAATATTTCATTGCATCACGAGTTATTCTGTTGCTAGGAAAGAGAAAAATGAATTGCTTTTGAAACTATGTGGTCAGAATGTTTCTTATTATTCATTTTAGAAGGACACCTAACGGGTAGCAGTGGACATTATTAGATGAATCAATGCCTTTAATCAATCAGTTTCTCAGAAAGCTACTTAAAACTAGACTTTAAAAAATGCTTCCATCCCAATTTATAGAGCTTATATATTACACAATCTTATTTAACAGTAAAAATTACCCATGTAATATCATTAGCATATGCTTTATATGTGGAAATTTTATCTCTGATGCCTCACCAAGATTAAGAAAAGTTGAAGCTTTATAAAACATTCAAAAAGACTACTGAACTTTCTAGGCATTTAAAAAATAAAAATAATTGCCAAATTATTCCAGGTATGACATTTAACATTACATTCTGCATAGGTTTTTCCAATAGGAATACGCTCGAGTAAATTGCTTCAGATTATATGGCTAAATCTGTTCTCACCAGCTGACATCCAGGTAACGTAGAGCAGTGTTTAGATAAAGGGCTTCACACAGCTGCTGCATGCCAAAATCTTTCATGTCATGCTTACACACATGTAGCTCAATAAGGGTTGAGTTAATTTGCAGTGTGTTGCTCATATGGAAGGTTGACGCTTCCTAAAAAGAGACTTAGTTTTGTTTATGGTCTCCATTCAACACAGAAGCTACCAATGGCTAAATATGAATTTGTCCCCTTCTAGAGTATCTCCTCAACAGAGACTAAGTCGTTTTAATTCAGCAAACATTGATTAAGCCCCTTTTACACATGGTTTCTTCCAAAGAGACTCTGAGTAGTTGTTTACATTTTCTTCTCCCCCATCAGACTGTGAGCTCATTGAGAGCAGATATTGCCCACACTCAGCCCAGGGCTTATGGACTGACTGACCAAGTGTTACTGAAGCAGTCAGATCCACCTGTGCCTAACATTTTTAAAGGATCAGAAATAATCATTAGCAATCCCGGAGTAAAACAGATGAGCTGTTTCCCGTTTCTCTTTGACGTGGCTGTGAGAGAGGAAATCAGTATAATAAAAAAGGACACAGCAAGCCAGTTAATGAACCTCTATTTCCTCGGGTCAATACTCCTATTACCTGGAAGGTAAGAGAAGGTTGTTGTGAAGAAAGCACTTTATACGCTTTACAGAAAATCAGGTCAACTAGCATATGTTAAGCTTCTACTTTGCGCCAGGTACTACGCTAAGCATAATGTACATGTGTCGTTTTTATTGTTGGTGTTAAAATCACCAGGGATGACAGCCAGAGGTGGGAAGACCTAAAGAAGCCCAGGATTAATGAAGGTCCTGGAGACCTTCCACCAGTTGGGATGGGGGTGACGGTGGTAACACCTAGAGTCTGGGAGGTAAGGAGGTGAAGGCCAGTAAGGAAGCTGAGTGGGCAGGTATCCACCAGTCATGAGAGGTTCCAGAAATGTCCACCAGGTGGTAATTCAAGGATGCGGCCTGGCCGTCCGTGGTCTGAAAGCACCATGATTCCGTGACTTGTGTCTCCAGTGGGCAAGGGGACCGTACCGACCTTGTTTTCCTGATCTGTAACAGGAAGCAAGGATAAATATCCCAGATGTTGTTTCTGTATAGGAGGTAGCCTAAGAAATCGGGAAGGCGTGGTCATTTCCTAATCCCGCCTCTGCCTCAGAGAGCTTTGGGTTCTCCAGGAGCAATATCACGCTCTTGACAAACTGGTGTTTTCTGTGCTCATCCCATTTCTATCACTTAGCTAAAACGTTTGAGAAATAGAGACGGTTCTTAAATAAGCGAAGAAACCTGTCGTCCTCTCCAGGGACAAGAGCTTTGCAGAGGAGGAAGAGCATCAGATAGGGTCTGGAGTTTCTGCTCTGACGTTAGCACTGTAAGACATGGGGCACATTACTGAACCCCTCTGAGCCTCAATTTCTCATCTGTAAAATGGAGATAATAACACTTGCATTATGTACCTCATAGGGGTGTTTTGAGGGAAACACTTTGCTAACTAAAATGCAACATAAATATGAGATTAAAAAATTATAGCCAGGATTGATGGAGGATATTTATTTTAAAGAAAACTGTTTTTCTTTATAGCCTTGAGTTCACAGAAGATTGTTTTTACCTCGCCCCCAAAGTTTTTCAAACTGTTTATGAAATTTAAAAAAAACAACAACTTTCAACATTTTATTAACACAATATTATTTTAATGAACTACTAAACAGGTACATACCTCTTCACTCTTCAGGATAGGGCGGTTTAAGTTTATCCCTTTAATTGATTGGTTTTTAATTAGCACAGTTGCTATTGCTATCAAACTCTGCATCCCCTGAAAATAAGTGAATTCTTACTGAGTTACAAGAGAAAAGATGGTTTTTTTTAATTACATGAAACATGAAGGAGAATAAAAAACTGATGCTTAAGGAAAAGACCGTATCCAGGTCAAAGGGACGGCACAGCCAGACCAGCCAGCCGCCCACTTGTTCAGGCTTAGTTAGTTCTCTATGGGCAGGACTTTTCTAGGTCCTGGGGACTGACCCTTCTATATCCTCCCAGATTCAGATGAGCTGAGCTAGAAGATGCAGGTAGAGCAGGATGAAGGGGCTGGTTCAAACTGGGAGGTCCCTGGATACTTGCGCTCAGGCTTATCACAATGAATCCTATCTCGAGGGCGACCCACCTTTGAGTGTCTCTGTCTGATCTCCTGGACCATTCTGAACTGGAGGGAACTTCCCAGGCTCAGGCTGATGGCCAAGTGCGACCCAGACCAGGGACAGGAGGAGGAGGAGGGGAGGGAAGGGCTAGCAAAGAGAGGGAGGGGACGGTCTCTCAAATGCTCCGACTGTGTTCATTTCTATGGCAGCTGTCAGGGACCTGGACACAACTGGCGGCTGTGGAATCAGTCCTGTCCTGAACAAGCAGCAGCTGGCAAAGTCATCTTTAAAGACGTTTCTTTGTTCTTTCCACCAATACATGTGCCGACTTTCCTAATGACAGGATGTGGTTGTAATTTAGTCTTGAATAAATGAGTGCTGTTTTACTCACCAGATCACAGTCTCCCAAATCTAACTTCTCTAATGATGAGTTAATCTGGAGCATTGTGGCAAAAAACATTCCACCTTTATTACCAATCTTGTTCCCAGTTAGTCTTAGGTGTTTGAGAGTTCTGTTTCTCTAAGCAGGAAGAAATGTCAAAAGTTAAATATTTAAGTTTTTTAAGCTATAGAATTCCCTTTAAAGGATTTGTTTAAATTATTTGAAAAATACAGGGATCTTTAATATAAAAATAAGCACATTCATCTAAATGACGAAAGAGTTTGTTTGGCTAATGGTTTCTACTCATCAGAGAGCAGCTGTGCAAAGTGGTCTTGGGTAAGTCACTGAAGCCTTTCTCAGCCTTCGGTACATAGGAGCATCGATTTAGAATCGGACGGGCCTGTGGATATCATCAAGATGAGGGAATGGAGGCCAAAAGAAGGGAAGTAACTGCTCAGGATTTGAATCCAGGTTTTCTTGATCTTGAATGGAGAGCCCTAGCCCTGAGACGGCCTGTCGGATGAAGGGTTGGACCCTCTCTGAGTTGGATACCATGACTCTAAGTCATCACCACCAACCCTAGCAGGAGATCACAAAACCTGAAGGCCATCACTGGCATTCTGGTGGTCAGAAATCATGGAAACTCCACTTCTACATTTTATTTCTTGACTTTGGGGAATTCTATACAATTTGTGTTTGATAATTTCCATAAATATTCTGCAAAGATACCTCCAGATGTTTTATAGTTTTAATGAGTATATTACTGAAACTGGTATGCTGTCCTAGACAGAGGGCTGGCCTTGGAGACACTGACAGAGGCTGACTGAGATCCTGGGCAAGTGGCTTCATCTCTGTGTCCCAGGCCACAAATCACAGAGAAGATGCTCCTTAGAGCTACGAAATGAACACTCCGGTCTTAGCCACCTCACTCCCTTATACCCCCCACACACTATGGTGTATAAAAGTAAATGATTCACTGCAAAGAAAGTCCAAGGTGTCCAAGGAACCTGCAAGGCCTGAAGAAGGAAAGAATCTCCCTGATTCCATGAAATGCGTACACAAAATGCAAATTTGCACCCCATTAAAAAGAGAGCAGGGCTCTCAGTGCCGTGGTCAGGGGCAAAGGCTACTTACATGGAGTGCTTTGGCGATCACTTTTGCCCCGTCAGCTGTGATGTCGTTAAACGTAAGATTGAGGTAAGTGAGACTTCGGACTTCCTGTAACAAAGAGGGAAAAGGGACTGTGGCTGAGGAGTTTCTGGAGTTCCACCAGGAGGGCACTTTTTTAGAGAGGTCAATTTATTTTGTTTTATAAAGAGTTTTCTCCAAGAAAGTCTTGACAACTGAAAAGAAACACAGCTGATACAGTGCTCAGCTGAGTTCCATGAAAAACACCACTGATGTAAGAAGCCCAGCACCTTAGTTTAAACCTAATCACAGCTACTACTTGAAAGAGGAAGACTGCAGTTGTAGTCTGAATGATGATTTGGCCACGTGTATGTTGTGTTTTGTGGCACTTCTTGTGGCTATGGGATGTAAGGAGTTTGCAACAGGTCCGAAAGCTGTGCTCTCTGAGACTAGACACACTCAAAAAGTCTCAAAAAGCAATCTGAGATTGCAGATGTAGCCACAAAGGACCAGATTCCTGGAATTCTGGAAAGACCGAGTAGCCTGTTAAGACTAAGTGGTATCACTGTAAACAAAACAAACATGTTAGGAGTCAAAATAATGCAATACCTCAAGGAGTTCTGCAACATGGTTCATTCCATCATCAGTTAAAAGGTTGTATCTAACGTCCAAACCTAAGGGACACAAATTAATACGTGACTGACCACCTTGATAATATCTAAATTCTGAAGACAGGAAGACATGATTAAGTTAAAACCAATACCTGTAACATCGTTATATGGTTTTATGGTATCGATAAGCATTTCAAAATCGTCATCGGTGAGTCTCTGTACTGGTATTAAGCGGTTATTACCAGCTATTTTTACTGTGATTTCATCTTTAAATCTGAGTAATAAAAAATATTTTAAAATACAAAGAATCAGCTCCATAAAGAAATCAATACAGTTTGTGTTCACGTACAAAGGTGAGTGTAAACAGTCTCATCCACAGGGGCAAATGTCAGTCTTGCAGGGTAAAACAGGAATAGTGAGCAGTGAAAGCTAACATCTGAACAGAGCTCTGTGGTTTTCAAAACACTATCACATGCATTTTCTCATTTGACCTTTACAACAGAAGGTGCCAGCATTCTTAGCCTACAGATGGAGAAACTGAGTCTTAAAAAGCTTGAGCAACTTACCCAAGGTCAGAAAAACAGGGATGAGCTAGGGACTAGAACCGAAGTTCTAAGCCAATGCACTCTGCCTCCAAAATTTCAAGTTGTTATTGACAAAAGATGTGTCCAACTTCTAATGAATTTTTAAATGGCTGTAGAATCTCTCAAGTTTCTATGGGGATGATTTTCAGAGAACAGAGACATAATAAATACAGTATTATTTTCTTACCCTTTATTAGTTTTTCTATGTTCTTTTTCTAGGAGCTGGAGTACTTCATATACAAAAGGATTGTAATTCCGACCGGAACTTTCACACACTTCCAAATAATGACGTGGGAGAGTGGCGAATGTTGTTGAAACTATAAAGAAACAAATCCAATGATACTTCCTTGCACAAGGACCATTCAGAAGCATGTGGAACGACTGTGGCTCTTCAATGGGATGGCCGGTCTACCGGAGATCTGTAAGTATGACATCTATATATTGATGTATTACTGTTTTAGGGAACTGGAAATCAAGCACAGGCACAATTCCACTAATCTGGAAGCTAAAATAATGGAAATGTGCAATGAGATTAGGCTAAGGGTTTTTAACCTAGGGTCCACTGACTGATAGATTTCAGGTGTTTCATACACTTGGGTGAGGAAAAAAAAACTGTATATTCACTTTGATAGAATATTTACTTTATAATTTCATGTATTTTATGTATTTGAAAACATTATTCTGATCAAGGGTCTGTAGGCTTCACTAGACTGCCGGAGGGGTCTAGGACCCTAAAAAAGGTGCAAGGAGTGTGGACATCTCAATTAAGTGAAGTTTGGCAGGGACAGCGTAAGAGAGTCTAAGGCTGCAGATCTTCCATAATTTTAAAATAAGAAGACAATTTTAAGGAGCACATTTATCATAAGATGAACTAGAGTTTACCTTTGCATGATTGATGAACAAAAGCTTGTTAGCACATTAATAGTAACGTGACTTAAGATGGAGAACATTTACTGTAAAATGAGACCAATGTGTTCATGCCATTCTTTTAAAGGGTGGCTCATGTTGTATAACTAACAGCCTTCCAAGAGCTGCTACCAATCTGGACGCTGCCACGGCTTCTTCATGTCCCTTCTGCCTCGCCACCCAAAGGGGGTATGTGTGTGTGTGTGTGTGTGTGTGTGTGTGTGTGTGTGTGTGTCTGTCGCACGTTGTCTGCCCTTTTGGAATATAAGCTTCTTGAGGACAGGAGTTTGGGTTTTTTGCTTTTTTCTTTTTTCAGTCCTAGTGCCTGGCACATAGTAAATGCAAAATAAAGTTTTGATTGACTTCTCAGTTTGGAGCAGTACAAGGGAGGGAGGGGGGCCCCTTGCATTTGGGCTCTCACCATGGACCTCCTGGGTGGTTAGTGTGCCCATGGACTCCTTCTCAGAACAATGCTGGGGAAGGAAGATGTGGGAGAAATAGGTACGGCCCAGACCTGGAGGGTAACAGCGTAGGCTCCGCTTCTCCCCATATACTTGAGGCCTAAGAGACAGACAGTGAGCAAACATTTCTCAGAGCAAGCGATAAGCTGGAAGGGCGAAGCCACAAGAATACATCAGGGTAAAGGTGGGGAGGGAGATAGAATCTTAGCTCCTCCTCATCTTAGTCTCTGGGGTCCAGGTATGCGGTGGAGTGCTGTCTCCTCCCCAAAGCCAAAGGCTCTGAGGGCCCCCCATTCATCATTGGGAGCTCCCACCTTCTCCTCCTCCTGCCTCAGCCCCCTCTCCCTCCAGCCAATCAGGAGTCCTGCCACCATAGGTGTGCACAGTGTCCCTGCCACACCCACCCCAGGGGGGCTGACAGATACTTGTTGTGGTTTTGAGGAGGTGGGGAAGATCCTACCGAGCTGGGGTTGTTTTGATTCTATGCATTCTTTGTATTACCAGAGCCTGGCACTGAGACTGGCACATGTGGTAGATGCTTAATAAATGCCTGTCCACTGACTGACGCCCCATCAACTTGGAGTGAGTGGAGTTTTCATCTTTGATCCTGATCGCTCTTGTCAAAGGGGCCCATCCCCAGGAGGCTGGAGGGACGAGGGGCTCTCTGGCAGCCCCTAGGTGAGGACACCCCGGTGCTGACCCCTCCAACCTCGTCATTGAGAAGCCTTCTGTGTGGGCTCCCTCTCCTGAGGCTGGCGTGGGCACCAAAGTCTTGGCCAGGCCTAGCGGGTAGGCAGGGCTCGGTGCTGAGGACCAGAGAACCAGAGCATGTCAGACTGCATAAGGAAGCTGGAGGTTTCAATGACCCCAAGTGACTCCCTGACACACAACCCACCTGTCGTGTTTTAAGAAAGATAACGGATGGGCCAATGGGCAGGGATGAGGAGGTAGGCTAGACCACAGGCTGGACCCGTGATTTCAGGGGAATGAGGAACTCCCTCTCCCGGTGCGGGCTGGCCCTTTCCCTGTAACCTCTCTAGACTTTTGGAGCCCTCTCAGTGTCACCTGGAGCTGTGATAGCGGCACCAAACAGCATACTGATTTAGAAAACCACATATTGACATTATCTATGTTTTACTGTTTTTTAATTTATTTTGATAAATATTTCTCAACTACATTTTAATCTGGTTCGATAGAAGTCTTGCCATGGGGGTGGGGGGGGGGAGGTTTGACGCTGAGGCAGAACTTGAACCCAGGTCTTTCCAGGCCATTTTTCTTTTTCACCACCGCGTGCAGCCTTTTCATTCCTTAGCATAGCGCCTGGCCCACAACAGGCGATCACTGATGCTCGCTAATAATGAGTGTATGCCAGGACAGTTTCAGTTTTCACTACAGCCTACGCCCCTGTTTAACAGCTGGGCCTGCTTTCCAATAACGACACTTAATTGAATAATTTAATAAGCATTTACGAAGCCCGCACAATGCACAAGGCACAGCGGGTGCTGGGGACCCGCAAATGCAAACAGATGCAGCAGACGAGGAAGGAGCAGATGCGGGTGGTCAGCGCAGGGGTGAAGAGGTGCGGCCGGGGGGGACAGCCCCCCGGTGAGATCACAGAGGCTCCCCCCCCACCCCGGCAGGAGGGGTCCCCTTGGAGCCGGGCACGGGGGCGGGGACACACGAGTCCTGGGAGCCCAGGGCGCTGGCAGCTGCCTGCGGACGCGTGGGCCATCCCCGCTCCGAGGCCGGACCCTGACCGCATCCCACAGCGACCCCGGGCTCCTCCGGCACCTGCATTTATTAAGCACCTGCTGGGGGCTCGGCCGAGGGGAGGGGCGGAGGAGGTGCAGAGTCTCCGCTAAGGGCAAGGGCAAGGTCTCCAACTGTTCGGCCCCCCCCCACCCCGGCCGGGGCCGGCTCCGCGCTCTACCTACCCGCTATTGGCAGGGAGGTGAAGGAGGTAATGATCTCCATTCCTTTCTCCGCCAGCACGGACGGGCGTCCGCTGTCCGGCTCCATGGCAACAGCGCAGTGGCTCCGCTCCGCCCCCTAGCGGAGGCCGGGCTCTGTGCTCCCCAGTGCTATCCGGGGCTGGTGGGGGGCGTGGCTACGCCCACTCTGGGGAGGCCGGAAAACGGGCGGTTGTTATGGCAACCCGGCGCCTGCACGCTCTCTCCGTTCTCCCCGCCCACACGGGGGGGCGGAGCCACGTGAGCCCATGAGCGTGGCTGGGACGGAAACGGGGGTTACCGAGGCCCCCAGGCCAGCTCCTTCCGCAAGTCCTTGCGTCCCGCCCACCGCCTGCTGCAGAGACTCCTCCCACGAGCACTTCCTCCTGAGCACTGAGCCTGCGCACCAGCCGTTGCAGCTCTTGGGGGGGAGGGGAGCGGGCGAGAGAATGAATGAGGAGGAGAGGAGAGGCGCGCGCCCCGTCCCCGTCCCCGTCCCCGGCCCCCCCCCTTCCGGGTCTGTGGCCCGGAGAACGTGGGGAAGGAAGGGCGTCGTGCGCGGCTCCTGGCCACCACCAGCAGGGGGAGCCGCGGGCGACGGCCGGGCGGTCTGCCTTTGGGGGGGCCACGTGGCGCAGAGCGCAGCTCTCGCTCCCACAACCTGGATGACACGGGTTCGAATCTCCCCGCCGGTGGGGGTGAATTGGCCGAGGCTTGGAGGACGAGTGGTCTCAGTCCTCTAGGACATGGACAGTCGGCCGAGATATCTGTAGTCAGTGATTAAGTAACGGAGATATGCCTATGCGGTGTGACAGGGATGGATTGAGCTCTACGTGTGGAGCACCTACTACGTGCCAGGCACTGTCCGACAAATGTTGATCTCACTTAATCCTCACTACCCTTTCGGCCCCATTTTACAGATGAGGAAACTGAGGCAAAGAGGTTAAATGACTTCTCAAGGTCACACAGCTAATCATCATAATCATAATCATAACTAACGTTTATATAGCACCTACTGTGTGCCAGGAACCATGCTGAGTGTTTTACAAATATTCCCTCCTATGACCCACAGCAATATTATCTCCATTTTACAGATGAGGAAACAGAGGCAAACAGGTTAAGTGACTTGCCCAAGATCACACAGCTAACAATAAGAAGCAGCAACAATAAGGATAGCTAACATTTTTATGTAGCACCTACTATGTGCCAGGTACTTTGCTGAACGTTTTACAATTGCTATCTCATTTAATCCTGGGAGAAAGGTGCTGTTATTATTCCCATTTCACAGATGAGGAAATTGAGGCAAACCGAAGTTACACCCAGGGTCACACAGAGCTAGTTAATGACTGAGGTCAAATTTGAACTCAGGTCTCCCAGATTCTAGCCCCAGCACTTTATATACTGTACCCCATAACAGCAGCCCCATGAATGGGCCAATAATTTTCTTGTCTTCTCCCAACTTCAAATCTGCTTTGTACTCATCTTGTATGGACTTTATCTAATCATCTGTGTACATATTGTCTCCTCCATGAAAATGTAAAGGCCTTGAGGAAAGGGGCTTTTTTTTTTTGTCTTTGTATCCCCCAGTGCTTAGCATAGTGCCTGGCACACAATAGGCGTTAAATAAATGCTTGTTGACTGATTAGAGTTACAATTTGTAACATTTATATAGGCTTTAAGGTTCAAGGCACGATAATGGGAAGAACCCCAGATAGCTAAATGAGAGATAGATGGATGGATGGATGGATGGATGGATGGATGGATATAGACAGATGATAGATAAACAGATATGGATGGATAGATATAGATAATGATAGGTAGACGATAGATGGATAAAAAATAGAGATACATGATCGACACAGATATTCAGACAGATGGGTGAGTGGATGGATGGACAGATAGAGATGCATGGTTATGCAGAGATAGCTAGCTAGATAAATACCTAGGTTGATAGCTATTTAGATAGAGGATAGGGGAGAGAGCGAGATAGCATGGTAGTTAGAGAGATGATAGGTAGGCAGAGGGCTGGAGCAATTATTAAGCACTTACTATTTGCCAAGCACTGTATTAAGCACCGGAGATACTGATACAAGAAAGGAAGACAGTTTCAGGGAGCTTCCATTCTAACAAGAGAAGACCACACACAAAGGAGTTCTGGAAAGGAGGGAGCATGGGCGAGTACTTGCTCAGCGACATAGGCCAGGAAATGGTGTGGAGGCCCTGGCAAAGTAAGGGGACGCAAGGGCAGAGCTCTAGGTTCTGGTGGAAGGAGAGGGGTGGTGCTGATGGTGGTCTGAGTAGAGCATGTCTCTGAGGACATGCAAGTAGGGAAGCTGCTTCCCGTATATATTAATAAGGGGAAGGTGGGAAGGCTAATTTCTCCATTGATTATAGAACAGAACCAACCTTTGCATTCCTCTGGTCCTGGTGACTCACCCAAGTGTGGTCGCCATCTTCAAGTGCTTCACCATTCAAATGGCTTCACCATTTGAAGTGCTGCCAAAGGGGAGAGAATTAAGATGACCTCAGAACCTTCTGTAGCTCACTATTGTCCACAGGATAAGTCACAACCCCCTCCCAGGCTTGGAAAGTCATCCCCAGGGTGGCCCCAGCTTGCTGTTCCAGGCTGGTGTCGTTGCACACCTCTGACCTTCCCATGCTCCTTTCCAAGAACTCTTCTCCCTCTCAACACTCCCTCTCCTGCGGTTTCTGCCTGTACACAGTCATGCTCCTCCTGGAATGCCTTCCCTCCTCACCTCTGCATGTTTGTCTTTCTAGGCAACTGGTGACTCAGCCCCGGAGTCCGAAAGACGGACGATCAAATCCAGCCTCAGATGCTTGCTAACTGTGTGAGCCTGGGCAAGTCATTCTGTTTGCCTCTGTTTTCTCACCTGTAGAATGGGGATAATAACAGTACCTTCCTCTCAGGGTTGTTGTGAGGGTGAAATGAAGTAATATTTTTAAAGTGCTTAGCGCACAGTAGGTGCTATAGAAATGTTTATTTCCTCCTCTTTAAGGCCCCACTCAGGTGCCACCAAAACTGTGTATCTTTCTTTGACGGCTTGGCTGAAAGGATTTTTTCTCCTAAAATTCTCCTAGCTCATTTTGTCTGGATGTCTGTTTCCTGTGCCCTCTCTAATTCCTTCTTTGTTTTATACTCGTCAGTATACATACCATCTCTCTTTACTCACCCCCAGTAAATTGTTTTTAAGGAACAGGGATTGGGTCATTGTTATCCCTGTATCCCCAACATCTCACTCAGTCCTTTGTATGGCGTTGTTAGTTCAGTAATTTTTCAGTTGTGTCTGACTCTTTGTGATCCCATTTGGGGTTTTCTTGGCAAAAATGTGGTTTGCCATTTCCTTCTCCAGCTCGTTTTGCAGATGAGGAAACTGAGGCTAACAGGGTTAAGTGACTTGCCCAGGGTCATATAGCTAGTAAGTATCTGAGGTCAGATTTGAATTCAGGAAAATGAGTCTTCTTGACTAAAGCCCGGGGACTATATCCACTGTGCCATATAGCTGCTCTTGTATATACATAATTAGGCCTTAATAAATATTTGTTGAATTTGAATTCGTTGATCCATCATCTTTCTGACAGTTAACCTCACAAAATCAAATTCTGTGACTCACTATGATTTTAACAATCTAGCCAGTGGGATGAATTTAAATTTACTTTGTCTAACATTTAAGTCCATGTAATTCAAGGAACATTTATTAAGCACCTACTATATGCCAGTCAGAGCGCTAAATTCTGGGAAAAGATTAACGCCCCTAAGGAGTTTACATTAAATTGGTTGGATATAACCTGTCCATGCATCAGTAAATACAACGTAAGCAAAAAATGAATACAACAGAACTTTTTGGGGGGGGATGGGGTTTGAGTTTTAACAACTATTAGGAAGGTATCTATATAGAAGTGGCACTAAGTGGAACCCTGAAGGGAGAAAAAGTCCCAAGATGTGGAGATGAGAAGGAAAAGCATTGCAATTATGTGTGTGGAGCAGCACGTGGCTAGAAACATGAAATTACAAGTCCTGTCCCTATCAATATAGAATGCATGGAGGGAAGTGCCATGAAAGCTGTATTTTTATGTTTGGATATAGAGAAAGATTCTTTCAGTGTGGCTCCAGTGGTCAGGAGTGGGACAGATGGGCGCAAGTCAAAAGAATGTAGCTTTTGGCCAAACAGAATGTGCAGGATAACTACAAGGGAGAAATGCTTAATAATTAGAGTTGTCAAAAAATGGAATGGGCTGCTTTCTGAAGTTAATAATAATAATTAGTATTTATTAACATATAATTTAATGTTATAAATATAAGTAAATGTGTAACTTCTTATTAATAATATTTAGTGCTCTAAGGTAGGCAAAGCACTGTTCATGTTATCTCACTTGGTCCTGAGAGAGCGAGGTGCTGTTATGATCTCAATTTTACAGATAAAGAAACTGAGGCTGAGAGAGGGGTAAAGTGCAGAGTCACACAACTCATAAACTCAGATATATTTATCTAAGGTAGAATTCAAACTCAGGTCTTCCTGATTCCCCATCCAATGCTCTATTCCACACACAATGAATCCTCTGTCACTGGAAGAATGAAGGGAGCCCAGAAAACTACTCTTGAAGTCTACTGAAAGCTAAATTCTGCTTGTTTTTGATTTGTTTTTCTTGTCTTACAATGCTTTAGATTCTGAATATTTGGGCTTTTTAATCCTGCTACCAAGATGTTTGCAGACCAAGTCTTCAAACTTTTGTCCTACAAACAAAAAACGGCCTTATCAAAGTCTGCGGAACCCCCACCAGAACGAGTTGGAGACAAAACATATTTCATGGATGCTTCTAATAAAAATCTCACCTTTATCCCACCTTCCATCCTGGAACTTTGGGAACTGGAAGAAGCGCACTTGGAAAATAATGCACTTGAGGGAATTTCTAAAGACATCCGGAATCTCACTAACCTAAAGATTCTCTACCTGAACAACAACAACATAAGATTTCTTTGCAAAGACCTCGGGGAACTGACTAATCTTCGAAGTCTGGACCTTAGCAACAACCCCCTGATTCCCAGCACTTTGCCTGTCCTTTCCCATCTGCGGGCCCTTCGACAGCTCCGGCTTTATAAAATCCACTTGGAGCATTTCCCCATCCAGGTGTGTAAATGCCTGCACCACCTGGAATTGCTGGGACTGTCTCACAACAGGCTGAAGGCTCTGCCCAAAGAAATCGTCAACCAGACCAAAATGAGAGAGATTTACCTGAGGAATAACCGATTTGAAGACTTTCCCCAGGAGCTCTGCGTCCTTTACAACCTGGAGATCGTCGACTTGGAGCAGAACCAGATCGCGGTCATCCCCGACGAGATCAGCGCGCTCACCAAGCTGGAGAAATTCTTCATCGCTTCCAACTGTGTGACCTACCTCCCTGACACTCTGGGCAGCTGTAGCAAACTAACGATCTTGGATGTCTCCTATAACTTCCTGCACAACCTCCCCTCGACCCTCAAAGAACTGACCGAAATTACTGAGCTGGGTCTTTCGGGGAACTGTCTGGAGAAGGTGCCCAGGCTGATCTGTAAGTGGACGCTGCTCCGTCTCCTGTACATGAAGAGCACCTGTCTGAAAACCCTGCGCCGCTCCTTCAAACGCCTGCTGAACATCACGCTCTTAGATCTGAGCCAGAATTACTTTGATTTTTTCCCTATCGAGATCTGCTCTTTGAAAAACCTGGAGGTGCTGTCCCTGGATGACAATCGCATTTGTCAGGTACACACTTTCCTAGGACCTGTAAAGGGCTGCGCTCATAACACCACAGCCAGATCTATTGGATGGTCAATCTAGGGCTGAAAGGGACCCTCAGGGGTCATCCAGAGGTTCCCAAACTTATTTGGCCTACTGCCCCCTTAAAACATTACTCAGTGCCCCCCTAGAAATCTTACAAAGTAGGAAAAAAGTCTCAGATTAAGTGTGCAATTGCACCCGAGGCTACTGCCCCCCCCCCCCAATTGCTCCAGCAACTCCGGGAGCAGTATCACCCACTTTGGGAACCACTGAAACCCCCCCCATTTTACAGAGGAGGAAGCTGAGGCCTGAGGTAGGCCTCCTGAAAGAGTTCACATTCAAACCCAAGCTCTGTGATTTTCAGTTTCTTCCTCATCTCCCTGTCCTTGGTTACCAGGCTGATTGCAGGCCATCAGTCTGGCTTTCCTTGCTGAGACTGAGGATGAATAGACGAAAATTCACTTGTAGAAAAGAGATAGGTGAAGGGGGATTCTTGCCCCTGCCAAAGGATTCTGTTCATTAAGCATTTGCAGGAGTGGTCACTTATGGCCCGTGGGGTTTGGTTTGTAAGTCATATGTTCAGAACTAAATTCCTTGCTTTAAAAAAAAAAAATAGATCCAAGGCACTGAATTGCTGAAATACTGAATATGAAATTATTTAGAGTTTGATAGTGATGTCTATCTCAAAGGCTCTGTCCTGGGTCCTCTTCCCTCTCCACCTCTATCAGCATCTGATGGATTCAGTGACTTTCTCTTTGTAAATGCCTCCCAGACCTTGGCGTCCAGTCCCTGTCTCTCTCTTGCCCTCCAGCCCTGAATCACCAACTGCCCAGTGGAAATCCTGGAGACGCTTCCAGCTCATCATGTCTAAAACAAAACTCATTCTCTTTGCCGCCGAACCCGTCCCTGTTCTCAACTTCCCAACTTCTGTTGTGGGTCCAAGAATCGTTCCAGTTGCTCAGTTTCATACCCACAGCGCCATCTTCCTCTGATCCCTTCCTCTGCACCTTTGCTTCGCTCGCTGCCTGCTGTGGCTGGGATACACACCCTCTTTAGGTCTTCCTCTTGGAATCCCTGCTTTTTCTTCCATCTTCAGCCCAAAGGCCACCTTTGCACGAGGCCTCTCCTGGTCCTGCAGCTCCAATGCCTTCCCATCTGAGGTTCTGTGCTATTTATTTGCCTTGTGTGTGTTTTGTATATGTACTTGTCTGCTCCTCTATTAGAGTGTAAACTCCTGAAGGGCAAGAACGTAAGCCCAAGTGCCTAGCATAGTTCATGGTACATCGTGGGCACTTAAGGTATGTTTGTGGATTGAATACTGATTAGGGAAGCAATTTTAGATGATGAAAATAGCTTTAATTTCTTTCTTTCTTTCTTTTTGTCTTCAAAGTTTCCCTCTTTCTATTGGAAGTATTCTGGAATCCTAAAGCTTCCAGATAAGCATTTGCATTGGTTCCATCAATGTATTTAAAGAGCCTAAGTTTTCAATGTCCATAGTAGTTTGTCCATCAATGAATTTAAAGCGCCAAAGTTTTCAGTATCCATAGTAGTTTATTAACCAACGAACAATTTTTTTTAACCAATGTCATACATGGCATCAGAAGTGAGCTGGTATTTAAATATTTAACAACCAGCTCTTCAAAAAAAAGTAGATAACACACTTTTCAATTTAATCTTCATTTTCTCCATCAATATTTTTCTATCACTTTCTTAAGTCTAGTCAATCAACAAAACAATAATTCCAGTCCTGCTTTGTAGCATTTGCCGATTTCCAAGGTATTTTTGGGGTTCACCCCAAAAATGTTACAATCGATTCTGAACTGGTGGGCACTGGTTTTAGCATAGCCCTACATGGCCTGCTTATCAAATCTACAGATGACACGAAGTTGAGGGAAAGAAACAGAGGATGACATGGTTAGGTTTCAAAAAGACTTTGGCTGGCTAGAACAAAGCACCAAGTTGATGAATTGATATTTGATAAATTAATACAGATCAATGTAAGGTCCGCCACTTGGGTTCAAGAAATCAACTCCAACAAGTACACTATGGGAAAACCATGGCTGGGCAAGAGGTTTAGAGGATTGTAAGGTCAATGGGAGTCAATGATGCGAGCTGTCTGCCTCCCAAAGTTAAGGCAGCCTTAGCCAGCTGATATCGAGACACCTGGTGGTGCTGGGCACGAGGGAGTATTCTGCTCCAGGCAGAACATAATGAGAGCATCGTGTTCCGTTCTGGGTGCCACATTTTAGAGATGACATTGGCAAGCTGAAGATCATCTGTAGGGAGGTGATCTGAGGCTGGACATCATGCCATGTGAAGATTAAGCGGTTAGGCAATACATTGGACCTGGAGTTAGGAAGACCCGAGTTCAAATCCAGTGTTAGGCACTAACCAGTTGTGTGACCCTGGGTAAGTCCCTCATTCTCTTGGTGCCCCAATCTCCTCATCTGTGAAATGTGAATTATAATAGCACCTCACTTGTAGGAGAGAATAGAATGAGATACTATTTGTAAAGTGCTTTGCAAACCTTAAAGCCTTACTTAAATGTTAGATATTATTATCAGTTGATGGAACTAGCTATGTTTATCCTGGAATAGAAAAGATTAGTGGTGGTATAGTAGCTATTTTCATATACTTGAAAGGTTATCATATAGAAAAGGGATTAATTCTGCTTGACCCTAGAGGGAGGTGGAGTGCTGGATGAGAGTTACAGGCAGGGCAGCTTTGGTCTTGATAAAAGGAAAAACTTCCTTGCAAGTAGAGCTGTCCCACAGTAGACAGGCCACTATTGGGAGGTAGCGGATATCCTTCACCAGAGGCCTGTAAGGGAAGACTGGATGGCCACTTAAGAGGGGTGCACGAAAGGGATTCTCAATTAGGTCTAGACCTTGGATGGTCCTTTCCAATTCTGAAGTCCTGCTGATCTGAGAATGGTTCCATGGTTGTGGTGGTGGTGGGAATAGCAATGGGTATTTCTTCTCTATTCCCACTGGTGTGGGGATTGGGGCTGGAGGGAGATAAATGAGCCAGTGTGTAGGGGAAGCGTCCAAGGATGAAATGTGTGTCAGGTTTGGGGGAGGGGTATATTTACTCATTTAGGGTGTAGGGTCATTTTTTTTTTACAGGTATTTGGAGGGGTTTGGGGGAAAACTCAAGCAAGTCACTGCTTTTACTCCGCCATCTTGTCAGATAGGGTTAAGGCAAGCAAAAGGCAATTACCTGTAAGTTGTGCCCAGCCCATAGCAGGTGCTTAATCAATGTTTATTGATGGATGGATTGCGCCAGCTCCCAAAATCTGTGATTAGATCTACAAATTAAATTAGGGTAAGAAGGCTACATTCTGTAAAGTGGTCTGTTTTCTTTTTTCCTTAACTTCCTAATAAAAATCCCTTTTAAAAAATTCTAACCTTTCCTCAACTGAGAGAAGAATTTTCTCTCTGAGAGAGAAGAATTTTCCATGCTCTAGCCTGGAAGAAGAATGAAAAAGAACACTAAATTTGAATCTAGGGTTGAATCATAGCTCTACTGTTTGAAAGCTGTGTGACCCTGGGAAAGTCACTCTCTGGGCCTCAGTTTCTTCACCTGTAAGATGAAACAGTTGAACCAAATGATCCCTCGAGTCTTATAGCTAGAAATCTTATGAATTTCAAGGAACTCAGGACAACGGGGAAGGTGTGGGGGGATTCTCCTTGAATAGTCAGGCAATGGGATGTCAGCTGTCATCACAGTTCAACATTCCGGAAAGAGCCTGAAGAGCTGGAGAAGGAGAAAGAAGGAAAAACAGGCCAAGGCTAATGCCGGACAGCAGTCATATCTGATTTTTTTTCCTGCTGTGTTTTCCCTTGCAAGCACTATTTCCCAGACAATTTTTAACATTCATTATAAAATTCCTTGACTAAGACACTTGCCTTTTACAAGCTATTTTTTTCTTTTTTGGGGGGGGGGGCTAGGCAATGGGGTTAAGTGACTTGCCCAGAGTCACACAGCTAGTGTCATGTATCTGAGGCCAGATTTGGACTCGGGTCCTCCAGGGCCAGTGCTCTATCCACTGCGCCACCTAGCTGCCCCTGCAAGGTATTTTGAAGTGGGTAGTTGGGGCACATTTACAAGTTAGTTAAGTTTAGTTAGTTTGTTGGTTTCTCCATGAAAAGTGGAGTATATTATGTAGCAGGATGGATTGAAGGGGTAGGGGATGTTTATCTTGGGGGATCTAGGGAGAAGTGATAGCTGTCTTCAAGTTTAAAGGACTGTCCTCTGGAAAAGGGATTAGCTTTGCCCCAGAAGGGAGAAGGAGGAGCTCTCGGTGCACTCTTGAAAAGACAAATTTAGACTTGAAGAAAGGAAAAAATTTCCAATAATCAGCGTTGTCTCAAAGTGGAATAGGCTTCCTCTGAATGTTATATGCTTGCTTTTCTTGCAGGTCTATGTGGCAAAGGCTAGAAAGTAGAGGGAGTTTTGTTTTTTTTATTAATTTATTTTTGGTTTTCAACATTCACTTCCATAAGCTTTTGAGTTTTAGATTTTTCTCCCCCTCCCTCCTTACCCCCCCCTCAATCTGATATAGGCTCTACATATACATTTCTATTAAACATTTTCACAATAATGATGTTGTAAAGAAGAATTAGAACCAATAAGAGGAACCACAAGAAAGAAGAAACGCAACAAAACAGGAAAAAAATAGAGCAAATAGTATGCTTCAATCTGTATTCAAACTCCATAGTTCTTTCTCTGGATGTGGATAGAATTTTGAGAGAGTTCTTTAGTAGGCATAGATTGGCCTCCTTTCCACCTCTGAAATTCTTTGATCCTGTGAAATACAGCGATGGGGCAGACAGAGCTGAAAGGGGACAGCCCAAAATGTACCAGGCAGCATCCCTGAACCCAGCTCTGAGCCTGAAGGTTATTAGTGGTTCTGCTTTTACCCCTAGTTCAATGAGGACAGCGATGGGGTCATCTTTAATCTTTTTTTTCTCCCAAGCAGCAAGCACAGCACTCTGCTGGGTGTGCTTAAATGTCTCTTAATTGAATTTAACTTATCCTTTAAAAAATAGCCACAACAAATTCTAGCTCCAGTTTAACAACAACTGAGTTGGAAATCTTCTAGGATGGAAATAATGATGCTATGTTTGCCAACACCATGTGCAGTGGATTGAGCACTGCCTAGGAGTTAGGAGCCTTGAGTTCAAATAACCCCTTAAACACTCGCTAGCTGTGTGACCTTGGGCAAGTCGTGTACCCTCTTAGAGCCCCAGTTAAAATGCTGGTAATAATATTGACACTCCACACACCACAGGCTTCTTGTGAGAAAAGTCACAAACCTTAAAGTGATATGTATGTGTGTGTGTGTGCGCAATTAGGGTTTTCCCCTCTCCTCTCCTCTCCTCTTCCCTTACCTGAGGGTGCTCTGCCCAAAGGAAGGGAATTTATTTATCTTTCCAGTTATCTATCCCACCTATCATCTACCTACCTTCCCTTCATTCATTCACTTACTTATCTATCCATCCATCCATCTATCCATCTCTCTATTCACTTATTTATTCATCTACATCTACTACTACTACTGCTTCTGTTACTACTATTGTACCACTGTACCTTTTTAAAAAAATTATTATTAATGCCTTTTGTTTTTACAGCAGAGTCATATCCAGAGACACATGCTACTGCCACCAACAAATGAGCCCTCTCTTGGGACAATGAAAAACCAGCTGACCCACAGTGGCCACGTCTGACAGTGTCTGTCCAACATTCCACACGCATAGTTCCCCAACTCACTACTGCATATGCTTTTTTTTTTTAAGCATTTTTCATTTCATGATCTTCAAGTACTTGACCATGTTAAGTTTCATACATTTGCGTGGAGGTTAAGAATTGTCTTCACTGACTTTTTTCGTTTTGTAAAAACAAAGTTTTCACAGGTTTTCTGGGTTACTCTCTTACACCGCCATAAATAAACTTTTGGGACTGAATATTATGCATTCCCAGTTCTGGCCATACTCATCCCATGGAGTTTGCAAACATGATTCATCCAAGAAGATGCTGAATTGCCTCTGAATTCTGTTGATTAGTAATAGTTTGTTTCCAAAGCAAAGCCCTATTGATTTTCTATTGTGTTCAAACAATTTTGGCAACTTCACTCTTTGGTTTTTTTTTAATACCTCTATCTAGGTCCCTCCGGAGGTGTTCAACCTTGTCAAATTGAAGGCACTTGGTCTAACTGGAAATAATTTCACTATATTTCCAGAGGAAATCTTGCTAATTGAATCTTTAGAACAACTATATCTGGGACAGGATCAAGGAACCAAACTGACCTACATCTCAGAAAACATTCTGAAGCTAACGGTATGAATTCAAATTTTATATAATTAAATATTCACCAAAAATACTCAAGTTTTGGGGCAGCTAGGTGGCGCAGTGGATAGAGCACTGGCCCTGGTGTCAGGAGGACCTGAGTTCAAATCCGACCTCAGACCAAACACTTGACCCTAGCTAGTAGCTGTGTGACCCTGGGCAAGTCACTTAACCCCAAATTGCATAAAAAAAAAATAAATAAATACTCAAGTTTTGGGGCAGCTAGGTGGCCCAGTGGATAGAGCACTGACCCTGGAGTTAGGAGGACATGAGTTTAAATCCAGCCTTAGGCACTTACTAGGTGTGTGACCCTGGGCAAGTCACTTAACCCCATTTGCCTCAGTTTCCTCTTCTGTAAAATGAGCTAGAGAAGGAAACAGCAAACCACTCCAGTGTTTTTGTCCAAGAAAACTCTAAATGAGGTCATGAAGAGTTAGACATGACTTAAAAACGACTGAACACCACCACCACTAATGGAATATTCGCACCAACTGTTATTCCCTACTCACTCCTTATAGGTGCCCCTCCTTGTTTGCTCAATCATGTATTTCCTCAATAATATCCCTACTTCCACTTCCTATGTATAGGTCAATATTGGAAATAGTCTGCAGTTTACTTGAGCCCACGATTCAGATCCATTGTTCCCTGGGTCACTGACAACTTGAATTCCTTGGGGATTGTGGTTTTTCAGAGTTCAAAGCCACAGCACATCTCTGAGAGAGCATTTCTGTTGAAAAGATGAATGTGTTAACTGAATGGATAAGCAAATCAGTGCTCCTTAGGTTTGAATGAAGTGCAGTAAATGACTACCCTAGAAACTGACAGTTACATAGAGAGTCAAGTGAATTAGAAAAAAACTGATGCTTGTGGAGTGAATTAGAAAGATACCCAGAGCAAGCATGGGATTCAGCATCCCATTTCACCAGTGAATGTAATCATAGCAGGCCCTGAAGTAGCTGTCCATACAGACTGGGCCTCCAAAAAGATCACTACTGTCAGTGTTCAAGTATGCATCCTGTGCCTCCATCATTTCAAAACTATGGCTCATGAGTTCCCACCAGTATGTTTCCGATTAATGATTAGCTAGTTGTCTCAATTAGCTCTCAGCAAAGGCGTTTACTCAAATGGTACAGCAAAAACAATAGTTACAAAACATTCCCCCTGCAAACCTGAAACCCACACTCCTACAAATACATACTATGTGGGGGAGAAGAGTGATCACACACTTCAAAGACAGTGGGAGTCAAGCATATGTTTAGGGAGCACATGTAGCAAAGACGACTCACAATCTGGAAATGCAGGGCCTCAATATACTTTCTGTCTTCATATTATTGACCCCTGAAAATGGGGTCTGTTTGAGATGGTGAATTGAGAAGAGTGTCTCTGTTGGGTGGGTTACCCCACTCCTAGGCTGGGCTGGCTCCTTACAGAGCATGGTGTCTCTGCTGGACAGTTACTCAGGTGGACTTTCTCTTCTAGGTAATGATGTCTCTGCTGGATTGGTTAATCTGCCAGCCTCCTTGACCTGCTCCCTGAGGGTCAGCTGAAGATTCCACCAGCTGTAGCTTCAGGCTCAGCTGTAGTCCTTACTTGTGGTACTGCTGAGCTCTTCCAGAAAGAGCAGAGACCCTTAGGACCGGCAGAAGCCTCTCTAATTCTGTTCCCTCAGGACCTCAGACCTAAGGCTTGTCACCTCCAAGAGAGGAGGCAGGAAATCAGAGGTTTTTGGTCTTTCTTTTTGGCCCCTTTTCCTGTCTGGGGACTGAATCCTTTCCCATAAATGAGCCTATTCAAAAATGAATGTCTTTTACAAGGTGTAAAATCATCCACTCTTCATTTGGAAGAGGATCACCCTCTACAAAGTCAAAAGATAATCAAAGATGACTTGACTTTCCATCTTATTTTCTCTATCACTTACCTCTTATGACCTGCAAATTTGCTGAAGTCTGAAATAAAAAGGAAAGGAATAAGTATTTGCCAGGCACTGTGCTAAGTGCTTTACAAATACTATCTCTTTTGATCCTAACAACAAATGGAAAAGATCTGCAAATATTTTTTATGATAAATTCTTCCCACCATCAAGGACCAGGGAGCCACCATCTTGAACTTATATTCCAAAACCACATTGTGAGATAAGCTTCTTGACGAAGTAGAAATGTTATTGAAAAAAACAAAGATGGCAAAGGCAGGTGACTCCTAGACCAAATCCACTCTGAGGAAATCCATGCTAGAGAAGACTTAATTTTGAAGGCATTTAGGGAAAATAGTAAAGATATGGAAAAAATCTTGGACCTTATTGTTACCTTTTTTTGAGGATGAGATTTTGTCATTTGCATGAAACCCTGAAACATCACAGAGCGTACTGAATGACACCTGTAATCACTCAAGAGATTTTGACTTAATCATCCATATAGGAAAAACCAAGCAGATGAAAAATATCTATTGTCCAGAAATTATTGTATGTAATTGGATGAAGAATCTATATAATTCATCCATATATGTATATATATGTACACATACATATATGTATGTGATGTATGTATATCTATCTGCATTGATTTATTCATTTATCCTTCTATCTATCCATCCACTCATCTGTCCATCCAACCACCCATCCATCCATCAACTATCTATCTATCTATCCATCCATCCATCCACGTACCCACTCACTCACCCATCCCTCCATCATCTATCTATCTATGATAGATACTACAAATGGACAATGATCTGTACCCAGAATCAAGCCAGAAACAGAGGGGGCTGGAGACTCTTTGAGAAAATGAAACATTTTTTTAATGACCCCAAACTTCTCTCTAAAACAAAGGGCCATCTTTCTTAACAGAAGTAATATTATATGACTGTAAGTCTTGGAACACTGCATTCTCTAAAAAATTAAAATTTATAATTACCCAGAAGTCAGTGGAGAGTGGCAGGGGTTTTTCAACACATAACAAACAATTACATAGTAAAAACAACATAGAATATATCATCAAAGAGATGTATGATCAGAAAAGAAGATGGGCCAGGTATTGATGAAGACATTCATTCCCTTCACACTAATCAGATGCCAGATCTAAGGCTTTTTTTTTCTTCACCAGGATATATTAGATGATTCTTGTAGATGATTCTGGGATTAATTTATCTATCAACTTGAGAATTGTTACACTGAAGTTTTGTTGTATTTCAGAACCTGAAAGAGCTATATTGTGAAAATAACAACCTTGAGTATTTACCTGTGGGCATAGGTTCACTGAGAACCTTACAACTGTTGGATCTTCACAACAATCAGATTAGGGAGCTTCCAGACTCCATATGTCAATTACAAGGTAATAAGTCTCCTCCCTTCTGCCTCCCACTTTCCTTCTCCCCACCTCCACTTTGGACTAAACCTATGATTTCTTTGGTCTAGGGGAATGAGGAAATGACTTCTCCCAATGGAAGGCCTTGGCACTTTCTGTACAAGAGAGAGCCATGAGAGATCAGATCACTTATCTAGGGTCAAATAGCCACTATGCGTCCAAGCAGGACTTGAACCCAGGTCTTCCTTATTTCAAGGCCAAGGTCATACATTATGTCACTACCCAATCCTTTCATTTGACAGATGAGGAAACTGAGGCCCAGAAATGTTCAGGGATTTGCCCAAGGTCACACAAGTAATAAGACAGCTAGGTCTTCTGAATTCAAATCAAAGGATACTCAATTTAGAACTGGAGGTAGGAGCAGCTAGGTGGCTCAATGCATAGAGCTCTGGCCCTGGAGTCAGGAGGACCTGAGTTCAAATCCAGCTTCAGATACTTGACACTTACTAGCTATGTGACCCCGGGCAAGTCTTTTAACCCTGATTACCTCACCAGAAAATAAAAAAAAAATGAACTAGAGACAGTTAGAGGCCACTGAATCTAACCCCATCACTTCACCTATGAAGGAACTGAGGCCCAGAGAGATCAAATGACTTGCTCAGGGTCACACAGCTTATGTGATTATGGCAGGATTTGAACCCAGGTCTTTTTGCATTCAAGTTGAGTGCCCTATCCACTTTCCATTACAAACACTTCCTTCAAATCCATCATCATAATTTTGCCTAGTCAAATCAGTAAACTTTTATTAAGCACTTACAGTGTCCAGGCACTGTACTAAATGCATAGTCCCTACCTTCAAAAGCTCACATTCTAATGAAACCATAGGAAAAGCTCACACACAGTAAACATTTTGTAAGGAGAGCTTCATGCCTGGAGTTGGGGAGACCTGAATTCAAATCCAGCCTCAGACACTTCCTAGCTGTGTGACCCTGGGCAAGTCACTTCACCTCTGATCGCTACCTTTGATTGGTCAATTCTACGACAATGTTTAGGTCTCTCTGCATTAATTGTGGTGGGCTTCTACCCCAAATCTTACAAACTAATTACTCACAGGAAATGAAAGGAATTAATTCTTCTTGACATGCAAGTTCTACTCAAGTAATTATGTCGTTGAGTTTATTCTCAAAGTATTTATTTTACTTGCCCTATTTTTAGAGATGGAGAGACCAGGACTTGATCTGAACATCTTTGAATATTCTGTTTTCTTAATTAAATGCACTTCTTTATCCTGATCCTGGAAACTTCCACTGGAATGAACGAAGAAGATAGGTTTGCGTCTCTCCTATACCCCCACCTCCAAGCTCTGCTCATACAATAGGCAATTACTCTTGTGACAAGGTCTGGTAAATGCTGTTGTATTGAAAGAGAAACCTTTGGTTCTATTCCCCCACCCCTACGTCTCTTAAAGAAAGTAAGCATCCTGAAGGTAGGAGTTCTCCCCTTTTTGTTCTTGATTCCCAGCACCTGGCACAGTGCCTGGCACATAGTAGGTGTTTAATAGATATTAAGTGAGTTGAATTGAAGTGATTGGGTGACAATAGAGGAAGGTGATATTTAAGAAGCTGGCACTGGGCTGCTAATAGTCATTTGGTTTTGAAAAGGTAAATCCTCTCTTGTATTTTAGGTTTGAAGACACTGATTCTTGAAAACAACTACTTGTCGGAACTTCCAGAAAATATGGACAGTCTAGAGAGCCTCGAGGTTCTCAACCTAGAAGGAAATCCCATGGAAGACCCTTCGGAAGAAGTGTGTAAAATGGGCATTCCAGCAATATGGAATTACTTACAGGAAAAGAGATTAATGAAAGTTATGGCCACTAAGGTAAAATCAATAGACATTCCCAATGATAGATGTGTATGTGTGTATGTGTATGCGTATGCACGTGCACGTGTGTGTGTGCGTGTGTGTGTGGGGGGGGGGGACCACACTATCCTGCTTAGACATCTGGAAAGGCCCTTCCCCAAAGAAAATAGTTTTTGGTGTCCTGGACCCAAATTCATGCTGAATAATACCAGACTTGATTTTCTTTTCAGATTCAGGCTTGGTACAGAGGAGTGAGGGTGAGGAGAGAGTTTGAAGAAATGTTAAAAATGCTAAAGAAGGGAAAGAAATCCCCCAAAGACAAGAAAGAAAAAGAAAAGAAAAATGAAAAAGCAAAACCGGCACCCAAGGGCAAAAAGAAATAATCCTTTTTTCTTGCCGGACTTTTAAAAAATGGGTAATGCCCCGAACGTGGTTGGAAGAAAGGAAGATGAGGCTCCAGCCGTTCGACTCTCGAAGAGGGTGGTAAGCATTAAAAGGCTTTCATACCAACCCTAGCTGTGGATGTCTCCAAGAGGCTTAATTAGTGAACATCTCCTGTTAGATTGTAAGCTCTTGGAAGGCAGGGATTGTTTCATTTTCTTCTTTGTATCTGCAGGGTCCAGCACAGGGACTTTCACAGAGGAGGCATTTCTTAAATGCTTTGGAGCGGAGCAGTGTGGAGTGGTGGGTGGTGAGTTAGACTTGGAGTCAGGAGGACCCGAGTTCAAATCCAACCTCAGATACTTACTAGCTGTGTGACCCTGGGCAAGTCCTTTCACCTCTGCCTGCCTCAGTTTCCTCATCCGTAAAATGTTGATAATAATAGCATCTATCTCCCAGAGTTGTCGTGAGGATCAAATGAGGTAGTAAGTGTAAAAGGCCCGGCACTACGTGAATATTAGATAATGTTATAATTATTGATTATTGTTATTATTATAAAATTTACTTGGCCTTATTTTCATTGCTTGTAACTATAACTATGGGCCCCAGGGAAGCAATCTTTTTTTTTTTTTTAAATAAAAAGAGCGCTCAGCCTTTTGGTTTGATTGTTGTATATTTTTGGAGGGTTGGTTATTGAAAATATCCCTGTGCTTGCGGAGAAGCTTGTGGAAGGGTGGAAAGAGTGTCAGACCTAGAGTTGGGAGTCACTCATGGGCTGTGTGACCCTGGACCAGTCACTTCCTTCTCTGTAAAACGAGGAAGGTTGAACTAGTTGACTTTTAAGATTCTTTCTACAATCTGTGATCTAAGCTTTCAATCTATAATCTCAAGGCCTGAAGCCAAGTCTTAGCTCTCTGCTTATAGCCTGAGTAGCTTAAATCAAGTTAATTCATCTGTCTGGGCCTCAGTTTCCTCCTTTGTAAAATGGGAGGTGATGGTCTAGTTGACTTTTTTTTTTAATCCTCTCTTTTTTTTCTTTGTGAGGCAATTGGGGTTAAGTGACTTGCCCAGGGTCACATAACTAGTAAGTGGCAAGTGTCTGGTCTGAGGCTGGATTTGAACTCAGGTCCTTCTGACTCCAGGGCCAGCACTCTATCCACTGTGCCACCTAGCTGCCCCTCTAGTTGACTTCTAAGGTCCATTCCAGCTCTAGATATCTGATTCCAAGACCTGGCTTTGCTTTGTACTGATTATGTGACTTCAGACAGCTGCTTAACCTCTCTTTTCCTTTATCTTTGTCTATAAAATGGGCCTGCCCACCTATGATTTCTCTGGTTTACAATGACTCAAATGATACGATAATGAAAGTTCACATTTATATAGATTTCTTTGTTTGAGGTTTACAAAGTATATTCAATACATTATTTCTTATGAACTGCACGATTTCCCCCTGGATTCAGTACTTGCCTAAAATGCCCATTTTAGAGACAAGAGAACTGAGGTTTACAGAGGTTAAGAAGCTTGCTCCTGGCCACGCAGCTAGGTGGGTGGAGGAAGTGAGACTGTGGTGCAGGTCTTGCTGAACTTCGGGACCACACTGTATGAAAGGGCTTGGGGAGACTGTAAAGTAGTGACGTGTCTCTCCTTTTTTTTTTTTTAAACATTATACAATGGGGGCAGCTAGGTGGCACAGCGGATAGAGCACCGGCTGTGGATTCAGAAGGACCTGAGTTCAAATGTGACCTCAGACACATAACACTTACTAGCTGTGTGACTCTGGGCAAGTCACTTAACCCCATTGCCTAGCCAAAAAAAATAAACATTATACAATGTTCCCAGCTGGGCTCTTAGTGTCCATTGACTGAGAAATATGAGACAGCAGAAGGATAATGCTGGCTGCCTCTACAGATGGAATATTGGACTCCTTCAGATAGCTCCACAGACCCCCCTCCCCCGGGTCCCACACGTCTTCTCGCATCCCTCAGGGTCCCTCCAGACCTTTGTTTCCTGGGTGACCTCCTCCGGGGGCCTGCGCTGAGGGGATGAGGTCAGGCCGGCCATGCTTCTTCATTGCTCTGCGTCTGTGCATTGTGCTTCTGATTCTCTGGATCTTCCCCACATCCCTTTAAATAATGCTGATGAGAATACTGCCTTTACATAGCACTTCAGGACGTACAGAGCTCTTTACCAATAGTAACTCTGATCCTCACAACAACCCTAGATGAGGGAGGTGCTGCTGTTATTCCCATTTTACAGATGAGGAAACTGAGGCAGTTAGCGGCAAAGTGACTTGCCCAGGGTCATACAACTAGTTGGTGTCTGAAGTCAGATTTGAACTCAGGTCTTCCTGACTCCAGATGCAGCTCTCTATTCACTGAGTCACCAGCTGCCTGGAGAATAGCCTAATAGAGTAGAAAGAATTATGGGTATGGAGTCAGAAGACCTGAGTTTGAATCCTGTTACTACCACTTACTACCTGGGGGACCTTGGGAAGTTGCTGGGCCTCTGCATCTATAAACCAAGGGTAGACTAGGTATCTAGACCTCCGAGGTCCCTTTGAGTGACAAACCTATGACGGTGTGACTCAGTGTGACTTTCTGGTGCACAGGTGGAATCCCAGATTTCTCGACAGAATCTCCGGGACTACCTGTTGTAACTTGTACCATGAAATGAAGAGTCCCCTTAGAATATTGCCCCTAAACGGTTAGTCAATCCTCACTTGAAGGTATCCAGATATGGCGGAGCCCCTGCTTCCAAGACGTGGTCATTCTAGTTTGGAACAAACTGTTAGCAAGTTATTTTCTTAAATTTCTTTTTATTTTCATTCCATTTTTAAAAAAATTCAGTTTTATTTTCAGTTGTGATTTTCTTCCTCCCCCACCCATCAGCAAGAAAAACAAGCCCATTACGGATAAGTATAATTAAGCAAAACAATCTCCTGCATTAGATAAAACACATATGCTTCAATCTGCCCTCGGAGGCCGTCCCCTTTCTCTCTGGAAGGGGGGGATGAGTTTCATCACGAGTCCTCTCGAACTACGGCTTTTCATTACTTTCAATATTTGAGTGGATCTGGGATCCTTCTATGTGGATGTTCCCTCCAGCAGTGCAGATTGCCACCCCTCCGTGACTGCCCATCCTGTGAGAATCTTGTCCACATCTTTCCATAAGTTTGCCACGTAAGGTTATTTAACATGTGAGGGGATTCTCTCATTTTCCTTTGACGTTGTGAGGATGTCAGTGGATACATGGCTTGTCTCACCGTGCTTGTCACACCAGCAGCCCATCTTAGTATTTGATTGTGTATTCTTTCATGAAATCCTTTATCTTTCTCCTTTTTCCTTGTTCCTTATTTGTAAAGTATTGTAGCCTCCCCATAGATGCACCTGCCAGGCATCTTTTCATTTCTTTCTGAGTAATTTTGTTATTGTTCAGTTGTTTAGTGGTATCTGACTCTTTGTGACCCTCTGGACCATAACATGGGGTTTTCTTGGCAAAGATATTGGAATGGTTTGCTATTTCCTTCTGCAGTGGATTAAGGCAAACAAAGGTTAAATAACTTGCCTAGGGTCACACAGCTAGTAAGTGTCTGATTTAAACTTAAGTCTTCCTGTCTCCAGGCCCAGCACTCTGTCCACTGAGCCATCTAGCTGCCCACTCTGAATAATACTCATATTTAGTTCTCTGCGTAATACTCATTTTTAATTCTTCAGAGATTGTGGCATTCCATCATTCTCAGCCGTACCAAAAACAATAATCAACAACAGTAGGACATTAGTATTAGAAACATGGGCCAGTTCTATGTTATAGGGGGTGGCTCTCTGGGAGGAGTGAGAAGAGGAATATGGGGGAAGTCTAGGTAATGCAAAAACAAAACATTAACTAGTAACATCTTTTAATATTATAAAGGCTAAAAGTGTATTTTTACAAAACTGACCTTTGTTGCTATAAGATGTTTGGAGTCTTTAAAGAAACCTTCCAGTTCATGAAAGCCATGTTGTCCTCTCTGTTATTTAATTCTGGACCCAATTTGTTGTCCACTTTCAGTGTCTCTCCAAGCCATATGAACTGCTAGACAAGCCCTCTCAGCTTCCTATCTATCTGCATGTCATAATCCTGACAACAGGGATTCCTCATCCACTTTGTTTTCTCTGTGTGGATAGTTTTCTTCATCTCCAACCTAAATCCACCTCACTGAATCTTCTAGTCATTGTTCTTAGTTCTGCCCTATGGGACCAAGGAGAGGTGTAATTCTCCATCCACGTGACAGTCCCTGACATTCATCTTTGAAGTCAATAATCATGTCTTTCCTAAAGGTCTTTTCTCCTCTGGGCCAAAATCCCCTGTGGCTTTCACCGTGGTGGTTTCCAGCCCTCTTACCATCCTGGTCACCCTCCTTTGGATCCCTTCACCTTGTCGGTATCTTTTCCTAAGACTTCAAAATGTCAGGTCTGCTCTGAAGAGGGCAGAGTCCATGGCAAGACCATCCCCTTCCCAGTCTGTGTGCTATGTTTTTTATTAAATCTAATAATTTTTCTGAGAGCCAGTGTGCTGTTGTACAAAGAGTATTCCATTTGGAGCCAGAGAACAGGGTTTACTTAACCTCTCTATGCCTCAGTTTCCTCATCTGTAAAATATGGATAATAACAGCACCTACTTCCCAGTGTTGTTGAGAGGGTTGAATGAGGTAGTGTATGTCAAGCACTTTGTAAACCTTAAAGTGATATATAACTAACTATTATTATTATTATTAATATGATAACCTTGTGAGGGGGATGCTTTTGTTATTATCCCTGTTTTATTGATGAAGAAAGCAAGGCTGAGGGAGTTTTAAAGTGGATTGTCTAGGGTCACACAGCAGGATTCAAACTCAGGTCTTCCTTAATCTGACTCTGCTTCTTATTAACTCTGTGGCCACGGGCAAGTCACTTTACCTCTGAGCCTCAGAAGGCAGAAGAATAATTGCATGACATCCCTCCCAGAGTCAGTGTGAGGAAAGTGCTTTGTAAACTTCCAAGTGCCATATATATAATGATGAGTTATTATTATTAATAATAGAAGAGGCTTTTTTTTTTTTTTAGCCCTGGGTTAACAGATGTCACTGGAATCCACCGTAGTCAAAGTGGATGCTCCTTTTGTGATAGTGGTTGAAATACTCCAGGTCTTCCTGCTGAGGCCCTGGGATCCTCCATCTTTGGATTCCGAGCTCGGAGAGCATGGGCATTTTGGTTAAACCACTTAGCAAGCGTCCAAACCACAGTCCGCACTCCCGAAAGTTGGCCGGCCGAAGGCTGATGTCCAACTCGGTCAGTTCCTTCAAGAGTGGCACGTTTTGAGTAAACGTAGCCCAGCCTTCCTCTGAAATGCTGTCATTGTAGCTCAGATCCAGCTGCTGCAGTTTGGTAAGATGACCGGTTTGTATAACAGATGCTGAAAAAAACAAACAAAAAGCACTGTGAACTTGGGGGAGGGGTAGTGGGGCATCAGGAAGACGTGGGGTCAAGTCTAGCCTCTGACCATGTAAATTATGACACTGGGCAAGTCTCTTCATCTCCCAGGGTCCTAGGAAACTCTACAGCTCTGAGTTGGGATGTGCCAACTCGCTTTGGGAGAGGGAATTTCCTCCTCTGAGAATTGTCTATACCAATGAAATCATGGGTCCCTGTCTCTACTCTATGTCAGGTTCTGTGCGTGTTGCTAAGTCGCTACCCTCAAGGAACATACATCCTTTTTCTTTTTTTTTTTTCTTCCCAATTTTCTTTTTTTAATTAAAAAAAAATGTATTTCTCTCCCTCCTACCTCCTTATCTCCCGTTGGGGAAAAAATAAAATTAAAGCAAGATCCTTTTAACAAATATGTGTAGTCAAGAAAAATAAATTCTCCAATTGACTGTGTCTCATTCTGTGTGCTAAGTCTCTCTCCTCTGTGTCAGGAGGCAAGTAGCATGCTTCCCCATCAGTCCTCTGGGATCATGGCTGGTCATTACATTAATTACAGTTCTTAAATCTTTCAAAGCTGTTTCTCTTTACAATATTATTATATAAATTGTTCTTTTGGCTTTGTCTCACTTCACTCTACAGCAATTCATAGGAGTCTGCTCAGAATTCTCTGGAACCACTCCTATCATCATTTCTTATAACACAATAAATAGTATTCAATTACATATATGTGCCATAATTTTTTTTCAGTCATTCCCTGATTAATGGGTACTCTCTTAGTTCCCAGTACTTTGCTCCATAAAAAAGCTGCTATAAAGATTTTTGTATGTATGAGTCCTTTCTTCTTCTTTTGGTCTATTTGGGGGTATAGGCCTAGTATTGGTATTGCTGGGTCAATGCGCACACACAGTTTAATAATTTTGGGGGCATAATAGGAAGTTTACATGATAACATATGGGTATGTGTATCAGGTAGGTGGCACAGTGGATAGAGTGCAGTGCTTGGAGTCAGGAAAATTTATCTTCCTGAGTTCAAATATCACCTCAGACACTTCTTCACTGTGTGACCCTGGGCAAGGCACTTCACCCTGTGTGCCTCAGTTTCCTTATCTGTAAAATGAGCTAGAGAAGGAAACGGCAAACCATTCTAGCTTCTCTGACAAGAAAACCCCAAATGGGTCATAAAGAGCCAGACATCACTGAAAAATGACTGAACAACAACATATATACGTATGTGTGTGTGTGTGTGTGTGTGTGTGTGTGTATACAAAATCCTTACAAAAATGCAAAATGATTTGCAAGGCAGGCACTAGCAGCTGGAGATGGGGTAGAGTAGGAAAGGCTTTGTGTCAAAGGTAGCTCTTCAGTTGAGCTTTCAAGGAAACGAGGGATTTTCAGTAGAAAGTGAAGATGAGGGAAACGTGCCAGGCACAGGCGACCTAGTAGTGAGTAAGAATTATGCAGTAGTTCCTTCTTAGATTATACCTTCATTTTGGGGATATGAAGGTATTTTTGCAACAAAATTGTTTCCTTCCTTCTTTCCTGATCTTATAGCCTGGAAATCAGTGCTTGTAAGGGGTTAGAGGTGGTGAGAGCAGCAATTTGGATATAGCTATAGGAATGCAAGATAAAGATGTTCAGATCCACTCTACCCTTCCAGGGTGATTAGGGGAAATTCTAGGGTGATCTGCATGCATTCAGGGGCAAGAGAGGAATTAAAAGGAATTTATCATCACAACCCCAAGCTGGCCTGGCAGAGTTCCTGCTGAGGGAGAAACAAAGGAATCAAAAACACAGACTTGAGGGATTTTTACTGTGCTGACTGTATGGGGCTGTGGGTCTGACTCATAAAAGAGCTCAAGTAGCCCTGAGGCTTTGAAAGGAGCTGACAAAAGAGCTATAAACTCCTTCGGGGAAGAAGCCACTTAGCTATAATTTAACAAATAAGCAGCAGATGGCAGGAGTAGCACAGAAGCTGTCAGTGGAAAGTTGACCTCCTCCAGGACTGCTTTATATTTGGGTTGAAGTGATTAAGCGCCTACCAATGCTCCCTGGGTCCTATGGAAGAACCACAGAGATTATCCTGTACTTTCACTTAGCCATACTGAAGGCTATAAAGTAGGACTGGCAACCCTCATCCTGAATTCCTACACTCAAATTGCTGCCCCCTTCTAAATGACCACATATATACATCTACAGAGTAAAGATGGGAGGAGATAGAGTCAATTATCTTTGACCCCAACCTCTTTATTCTTTTCACATACCCCCTCAGACTGTTATTGCTTTGTTGTGGTATGCCTTCTCCTTCAAGGCTGCCTTTGCTGCTCATTTTAAACAGATTCACCTTTATAAAAATAATTTGGTAACAGGACAGAAACCAGGTAGCCTGGGAACATCACCCATTTCCCTGCCAGCCCCTCCCTGACTCTACTATTTCCCTGCATGTACACAGCACCGATATCAGACATGTTCTGATGCAAACACAAACTGTCTCAGTTTTTGAGCTAGAAGTGACTTTAAAAGTATTTTAGCATAAACCCTCCCTTTTACTGATAAGGAGAATTGAGGGACTTATCTAAGGTCACATGGACAATAAGGTATTACACCTGAGGCCTTTGACTCAGTATTTTCCCACATATTTTCCACCATATTGGAATGCAGGTTCTAGGCGCCAGGACTTCATTGTCACGGGCAAATGCATACCCAGGAGAGCCATATCTTCAGCAACCAGGGAGCAGCTTCTCAGTCTTAGCACTTGGAGGGCAGCCGAAAGCTTCAGAGTTTGCAAAAGCAGATTTAGGTTTCCTCCAACATACTTATTCCAAGAAAGGTCAAGTATCTTCAGGGCAGGAAGATACATGGAGGCTTCAGCTGAAAAGGTAAACATGAACAGCTTCTGTTTTCTTGGAGAAAACACCAAATGGAGCTTGAGTTCAAGAAATGTGCTGTGATCCAACAGGTTAACGTAGCTGTTTAATCTCTTGTTTTCCCTCTTCTGCAAATATTTGCCCCAATTCAAGGTTATTTATTTTGATTTAGAAATATTAGGAAAATATCAGTATAAGTTTCAAATATCTCCTCTCCCAGGATTTATTTTCCTTAGTCCTCTTTTTCGGTCAATGGGTGGGGTGGGAGCAAGGAGGAAATATAGAAGGCAGTTGACCCAGTCAGGTACAATTGCACCAGGAAAAGAGTGTTTCCTTCCTCAGAGAATGCAGCCTCAATACCTGTGGCATAGCCAACCCCCACTTTCCCAGGAGAATGTGGGGAGGAGGGAGGATGGTGGCAGGAGGGGAATGCCATGGTAGGAGCAGGGAAGTATCCATTTTCAATGTGATACTGCTTATGAACAAAAAAGTTAGATTCCCTCCCCTAGGCATCTCTGTAAGGCAAACTCTGTGCAGTGCTGGGAGAATTCCCTTACCAAAAGCTGTGAATGCTTCCTTTCCTAACGAGCAGCCAGTGATGACTAAAGTTGACAATTCTGGTAAAAACCGCAGTCTGCTAAGGAGATTCTCTGAAGAGCCGCCCACTTTCTTGTTGGCCGATAGATCCAGCTCCTGAAGACTGGAGAGTAAAGGGATGACCTGGGCTTTTAAGATATCACAGAGCGACACACTCATGAGTGGGCTGGAGGTGAGCATGGAGGTCTATTACTGCCCTAAGGATGGATATTCTTTAAAGCCCTCCCGAAGGATCAGATCCAAGAAAGCACCATTAACTCTGTCCTGTGCATTGGGAAGATGAGTTTTATTTCTTTTAATCTCCTCCAAATGTAACGGGATTAAGATAATTCTTAATTTCCAACAACCTTTCATCCAACAAGAGGGCTGTTCATTAGTGATGGTGCAGAGAGAGGTAGATACGTAGGATCAAATTCTCAGAATACTGCTGAGAATCGAGCTCCCCTATCTTTTAAAAATCATCCTTTTTGAAGAATAAAATGAGAACACATCTCTGATGATCTTTCTTTATCTATAGACACTTCTAGTTATGATCCTGGCCAAGTCACCAAGGTTCTCATTCTGCACCTTGGTTTCCTAATTAGTAAAATGAGTTTTGATTCAGTGGCCTCCAAGACCCCTTCCATTTCTAAATCCATGACCCTGTAAGTCTCTTAACCAGTGTGGGACTCAATTGCCTTGCCAGTTAAATAAGGGTTCCAATCTGTTGGTTTCTTAGGTTGGTTCCAAATCTGAAATTATCATCTTATGATACTGAGGCATAATGGAGGGGAAAAGGGAAAGGGAACATGCATTTATTAAGCACCTACAATGTACCAGGCTCTTTACAAATACTGTCTCATTTGATCCTTGCAATAATCCTGGGAGGTAGGTGCTATTATTATCCCCATTTTACAGTTGAGGAAAGTGAGGCAAACCTCTGAGGTTAAGTGACTTGCCCAGGATCACACAACTAATAAATGTCTGAAGTCAGGTTTGAACTCAGCTCTTCCTGACTCCAAACCCCAGTTCTCTATCCACTGCACCATTGTGTAGTAGGTAGCGCAGTAGATAAAGCTCCAGCCTTGGAGTCAGAAGGACCTGAGTTCAAATCTCATCTCAGACACTTGACACTTAACTAGCTGTGTGACCTTGGGCAAGTCACTTAACCCTGATTGCCTCACCAAAACAAAAAAAAAAAAGTGCTTTGTGTACCTTGAATCTCTATCTATCCTCATGTGCACACCTTCTCTGATTTCTGTTTGGCCATCGGGTTGGAAAAATAGGTTTCTTTGAGAAAATAAACACACAATTCTCACTCGCCCTGCTCCTCTAAAAAGAGCATTAGACTTGAAGTCAGGAAGACCTGAGTTCAAATCCAGCCTCAGACACTTACTAGTTTTGTGATCCTGGGCAAGTCACTTAACCTCTGTCTGCCTCAGTTTCCTCATCTGTAAAGTAGGGATAATAATATAGCACCTATGTCCTAGGGTTGTTGTGAGGATCAAATGAGATAATATTTGTAAAGTGCTTTGCAAACCTTAAAGCATAATCATTTATATAATATTTCATAAATGATAGCTATTTATTGTTATTATTACTATTCTGTTAGAGGAAGAAGAAAAGAAAGAAGGGTAGACTGAGTGGGGAGAGAGAATGCCTGTAGAGACAAAGCAAAGAAAAAGAAGGTTGGGTACACCAAAGACAAACTTCCCTCCTGTAGGATTTAAAACTAGATGGAATTTTCTAACCAGCATTTTCATCTACCTCATCTTACAGATAAGGACATTGAGGGGAGGTGAAGTGTGCAAGGTCACACAGGCAGTCAATAGCAGAACAGGATTCAAACCTATCTCGATCTGAGACACCCCCACAGTAAATACTGTTGCCTCAGGATCCCGGTGGCTCCTGCTTAATTTGGGGGCCCACCCCGCATGCCCGGATTGCTGCCATGACTCAGGGCAGAGGGAGGAGTAAGTTCCAATGTAGAAATGAAATTGTGTGGTCAGTGGTCAGTGGTCAGTGGTCCTCATTTATGGAGCTCCTCCTCAGCTCTTACCCAGAGATGCTACGTCATCTTCTGATAAGGAACACTGGTGAAGGTCCAAAACGTGGAGAAGCTTCAAATGAGCCAAGTGGGCGGCGGAATCTTTAAAGCCTCCTCCCACCTCCTTGTTGCCGGACAGGTCCAATGTCCTTAACTCGGGCAGATGTTCAAAAGCAACACCTGCCAAGAAAGCAAGAATCCCTTTCTGACATCCTGCAGATGGCTAGAAAATGAAAAAGTATACTTTGTTCCTCGTGGCAGGAGAGTAGGGGGGAACCTCTTGCTTTTGACCTGAGTTCAAATCTGGCCTCAGATATTTACTAGCTGTGTGACCCTGGTCAAGTCACTTAACCCTGCTTGCTTCAGTTTCCTGATCTGTAAAATGATCTAGAGAAGGAAATGACAACCCACTCCAGTATCTTTGCCAAGAAAAGCCCAAATGGGGTCACGGAGGGTCAGACACAACCGAAATGACTGAACGACAAAAAGACAAGGAACACGCCCCATACGCCCACACACTTTTGGGGGGGCCAGAATCGACACCATCCCTCCCGTTACTGAATAACAATATTGGACAATGATTTCTTTCAGCGGTATCGGGAGCTCCTGATAAGGAGCCGTTTCTCCCAATGCAGGTTGGTCACTGCTCTGCCACTTATGGCCTTAGAGAGTGTGTGGGGCACTGAGACATTGAATGTCATGCCCAGGGTCACACAGTCCATATGGGTAGAAGCCCTCCTTGGACTTCAGGCTCTGAGGTCAGTTCTCTGTGGTGATGACGGATTGCCTCTCTATAGCTAAGTGGCATCCCCTGCTCCCCAGATTGTGTCCCTCCCTGGCAGCTTGAGCAAACCTAAAATCAGAGAATAAACCCTGATCCTTGGGGGAGGTTTGGGTTAGTTACAGGATTCAAGAGAGCCAAATAAAAAGTGGAAGGCATAGAGTTGGGAAGGCCTGAGTTCAAATCCAGCCTCAGACCTTTACTAGCTGGGTGACCCTGGGCAAGTCAGTAAACCTCTCTTTGCCTCAGTTTCCTCAACTGTAAAATGAAGATAATAATAGCACCTACCTTCCAGGGTTGTTGTGAGGATTAAATGAGATATTTGTAAAGCACTAGCACAGTGCCTGGCACACAGTAGGTGCTGTATAAATGTTAGCTATGATTATTACATAATACTGTTGAACATAATGTTTTTGAAAGCAACGGTGAAATAGGAGAGGCTCAATGCCTTTGGCTCCTTTAATAATGAGGATAACATCGTTCGCCTGGACATTGACCTAATCTCCCAAATATTTACTAGTTGTGTTACATGACAGGGATAAGGCCAGGCCTCACAGATAAAAACCTCCCTCTCCCAGTGCGGGTTGGCATCTTCTCCACAGCTCAGAGTCCTAGAGAATTGCCTAAAGCCCTGAGAGTTTCAGTCCTTGCCCAGCATCTCCTGGCCCATATGTGTCAGAGGTGACACCTGAACCCAGTACTTCTGGTCTCCAAGGCTCTCTCTCTCTGTCCCCCTGAGTCACTACTTGCAAGGCTTTCACTAAAATCTTGGGATTCCTCACCCTGGTGTGGAAGTCACTCTGGGCTTCTGACTGGACAGCAGACTTTTAATAAATGCTTATTGACTGCTGAAAGCTATGACCTTGGAGCATGAACTCTGGCAGGTTTGGGAAGTCTGGACCCAGTGATGGTCTGCATGTCTCTTGTCCAAGAACCAGCCTCACTAAGGTCTGAGAGGCTTATCTCCAGGTGTGACAAGTGGAGGTGAGAAAGGAGTATATTCCTCACATGGGACATAACCCATGCCACAGACTTTAGGGAGAAATCTGAGATCTGAAAACAATTGCTGGGACCTCAAAGGTCATGACTTATTCCAAAGATTTTGAATAAAAGGAAAAACAATTCAGCCATTTTGACTCACCTAAAACCTGGATGCTGTCTTGAGTTAATCCACAGGTATGTAACTTTAATACTTTCAAGCGTGGGGTATTTTTCAGCCCCTGCACAATACTAATTAGGCTATAGCCAATATTTCTATTTATGGAAAGATCAAACACTTCAAGATTCTGCATCTGGGGTAGCACCTGACCTGGATAAAAAAAAGGAAAAAATATTGATTATGAAATTAATTTAAATAAAGCAGTAATAAGAAGCTAATTATATTTTTAAATTCAGGGAGGAGAGACAAAAGCCTGCTGAATTCCTTTTGATGAGCTCCCTAATCCTGGGAGCTCTCCCACCATTTTGCTTTTGGCTGGCCTTTCCCAAATGCCACTTACCTACAGATGCTGCATCTTCTGCTGTGAGGTCACAGTCCATCAGCTCTAGGATTTGGATTTTGCTCCCCTCTTGGATTCCCTGGAGGATCTTGGCCAGTTTACCTCCCACATTATTGTTCCAGGATAAGTTGAGTTCTTCTAGGTCTGGGGTGGTTGTAAGGGCTTCTCCTGTAAGGAACTAGGCATGACTCCAGGTCAGCTCAGTACTCTACACAACTTGGCGGGGAAAGGGAAAAGAAGTCACTCGGCTGGGGGTACTTCTTTGAGTTACCAAGAGCAGAAGTGAGACAGGACATTTTGTTGGCCCACAGAGAGATTTAACCCATTTTGACTCTGTGGATGCCATGCTTATCTGAGCCAATAGAGACAGGGCAACAGAATACTAGAAATGAGTAGCCTGAAGGCAATACAGTGTAACGGTTGGGGGAAAGTCTAGACAGGGTGCTTAGAATGCTCCTGGCCCAGCTGGGGGAATAGGACTATGGAAAAGGCAATGGGACAGAAAGGGATTCCTAGGCCTGGGTGGGTGAGAGGCCAAATAGTCTTTCTTTATATTTATATGTATTTATTATTACAAAGATATGTCTTATATCCTCACAATTATCTTATCCCCATTTTACAGATGAGGAAAGTAAAGCCCTGAAAGGCTAAATGACTTGCCTAAGTTCACACAGACAGTAATTGACAGAACTTGGACCCAAACCCAGTTCTTCAGACTCTGATTCCAGGCTTTTTTCCACTGCATCGAAAAGCCATTTTCACTCATCATTTAGCTCTTTTTCCATAAAGTCAATTATTAACAGCATCATTAGGGAAGACGTATAATTAAGTAGTTGAAACTATATTCCTAAAATGAGTCCTATTAAATGTTGATTGCAAACTGGCGTAGGGCAAGATTGCTTCTTGCTGTCTTGGTGATTTTTGAAGATTCATAAGAGGCTATCATGATAGCTTCCAGGAAATTAGAGGGACAAAAGATTGGGTTCGTGGAAATTAGTGGTATAATCCATGTGGGGCATGAGTATGACTCTTTTGGGGGGGGGAATCAAATTGGTTAATGCATTTTTTTTTTTGGATCGCATCATATTATCTCTATCTCCTTGTAAAACAGGTAAGCAAAATCAACTGACTAGTGACCTTTCCTGGCAACGTATGCTACATCCTGCCCAAGTAATCTCCCACTTCTGAGAGGAAGGAGGCATATTTCATTATCTATTCTCTGGGACCATTATTGATTTTTCAGTTACATGAGCATAATTCTTATCTCAAACTCCATCAAGGAAAAAAAAGAAACAAGTACAAGTTTAACCTTTAAACAGTAACATTTGAGTCCAAACCTTGACTGGGTTTTCTAATGCACCAAAGAAACTTACATGGAATTTCACTGGCAACCAAATCAAAGAACGTTAAAACTGGAAGGAATTTTCAAAATAATTAGTCCAACCTCTTCATTTAGTAAATAGGTAAAATGAGACCCCAAGAGATGAAGAAACTTGGAGGCCAAATAGTCTTAAAAAAGGACTTCTCAGCTGCCAGGGTTGGGGCAGAGAGGTAAGAGCAGAGGGAGCAAACAGGCAGGCAAATACTTTTCCTTGATGAGCAGAGGTCAGTTCAGCAAAGGAATTCTAAATCTACGAGCCCACAAGGGCTCTGGAGAATATAGGACAGTTACGTTTTTGACAGGGAGAAGAGTAAATAGGATAGGTCTGAAGCATAGGGCCTCACCAGAGGAAGGCAGACAGAACCAAGTTCCAAATTATATGGGTACAACCAAGGGGCATTGAGGGTCTGGTGCCTCCAAAAGAGCGGGTGAAGTGGAAAGGGTCCTCTCTTTTCTCTTTCCGGTTTCTCCCTCGGTCCTCACATTCAGTTAGTTTCTAAATCCTACCTCCCCATTTTTCAGTCCTATGGGTCTAGGTCAAGACTTCATCATGGCTCACTGGATTGAATGTAAAAGCCTTCCAACTGGTGTCTCATTGCCTTCAGTTTCTCCCCTCGCCAATCAACCTACACACCTCTTCCATATTAATCATTCTAATCCATAACTGATCGTGGGACTTTCCTACTAAAAAACCTTCAGTGGTGCTCTATCGTCTACCAAATAAAGTCCAGATTCCTTAGTTGGCTTCCGAAACTCTTCACAGTTTGGCCGCAGCCTGCTTTTTCAAGTTTCCCTTCATATATTCCACACAATAACCAAACTGTGCACCTCATCATTCCCCTAATTATCCTGTGCTTTCCCACTTCTGTTGAGTTTTGGTTAAGCTCTCCCTTAAACCAAAAGTATTCCTGATCCCCGGCTCTGTTTGCTAAAATCACTCCCTTCCTTATTCCATCTTATCCTTTGTGTATTGTGTTCCAATTAAAGTGGCCCACTCACTGTGTTTTGTTATCAAGGTTCCATCTCTTGACTGTGGCAATAAATAGGTGAGTTCCCATGAATGTCATGAACTTTTCTCTTTAATTCTGTCACTTAGAAGCTCTCCCTTCCCAAGTACCACTTCGTACGCAAGGCATTTTCTATTCTTCCTTTTCCTTATTAACTCCTTCTTTATAGATGAATTCAAAGAGAAGGCATTGGGAATTAAACCACTGGTATACTGGTGGGGCCAATGTACTCTCTATCTGGCACATAGTAGGCACTATATAAATGCTAGCTATTTATTATTATTTTATTTATTGCTATTATTATTACCTCTTAAAAATACTTTGTATATACTTGTTTGGAGGCAATATAGATATATAGCTAGTCTTAAAACTAGAAAGACCTGCATTCAACTTCTAACACCTCTTCTCTCTTTGAAGAAGAAAATGAGAACATGAATACTACATCCTGACTGAGTGGCCCTGGGCAAGTCACTTAACTTTTCAGCCAATTCTCTCAAGACTCTAAATTGTAGAGAGTGTGCCAGTTGGTCGGCAGAGGGAATTTCCTCTTTTGGGAATTCCCTAAATAAAGAAAATAGCAGATACCATCTTGTCCTCTTTTATACTTTGTATTTACTTATCTGTATTGACATTGTAAGCCACCAAGAGAATGTAAGCTCCCTGAGGGAAAGGATGGTTTCATTTTTGTCTTTGTATCCCCAACACCTAGCTCAATGCTTGGCACAGAGTAGGTATTTGTTGAATTGAATCGAGCTGGATGCCTTGCTCAGATGCCACCTTTTTTTATGAAAATTGCCTTGATTCCCCCTCAGCCCTAACACCTTGTTGGTTCTTGTCCTACACAGCCATCATCTTCAAATGTGTGTTATAGTTCTTTGTGTTTCTTTCATCTATTCCCAATTAGAATGCAAGCTCTTTGAAGGCACAGACCCTGTCATTTTTAGTGTTGATTCTTCTCCAGTGCTCCAAACATTGTCTTGTCTGATAAGTAGGTGCTTAATAAACTTTTCCTTGATTTCAATCCATTATTTTTGTTGTTACCATTAGGGAGAAAAATTCTGATAAAAGCATGGTGGACATTCTAAATGTTTTCCTAGTCATGTCTTGGGATGTTTGTACAGACGTTAGAGCTCTGTGATTGCAGGTTGCCCCGTCCCTAACTGAGAATTCTCCATGTTTCCTCTCTCAAGCAAACAGCATCATACCCAATGCTAAGACATCATCGGTTGTGAGCCTACAGTTACTCAGTCGGAGGATCTTTAACTTGCTGATATGATGAATTTGCAGTATGACTGGCTTGAGAGCTCCAGCTATGAAGTCATTCCAGGAAACATCTAATTCTTCTAGGTCTGGGAGAAGAGGCAGTAAAGCACCTAGGAAGAAACAAGACAACAGACATGTACATCAAATTCATGGGTATCACTCGACAGTAACTGCTCAACTATGTACATCTGCTGGGCTAGATTGACCTTGTTATTGTTACTGAACTGCCTTTCTTTCATTCTTTTTTTTATTCTTTCTGATAAGGGGTTATTGTAGATAAGATGGACGGGGATGCACTGGGAAGTGAAGGTGATATAAAAATAAAAGATAAAAATGTTTTTAAAAAGATTTCTTGTGCATTGCTCACTGACTTTTTTTTTTTTTTTGCATATTTAGCAATGTAAGGTAAAGAAAAGAAGGGTGGGGTGGGCTTTTATTTCCTGCAGTACAAACAGTTCTGGATTTAATTCCTTGAGTAAATAAACATAATATAATGTCCCTCCAAAAGATGTATATGCACAGTGAAGAAAGCAAAACCTAGATACACAGTGACTGCAATAATGTAAATGAAAACAACACTAAAAATTCAATAAAATGCAATGACCCATTTTGGTCCCAGAGAACAGATGTTGAAATATATTTGTCCTTCTCTAAGTATACAGGTGAAAGACTATGAGTGAGGAATATTTCAAATGTGGTTGTATTCACGGGCCAGTCGCCTATGATGTTATCATATTTGGTCACTTTTTTAGTTGGGTTTTAAAAAATTATTTTAAAAAGTTAGGAATTTGGCAAATATCAACAAACGTGACATTGTCATATATAAATGTAGGACCCCTTTGTCCAAGGATTTGGAATGAATAAAGATGATGGTAGTGAATCAGAACAGAAAGCCCCAGTGTTCTCTGATTCTAGAATTAAAGGAGCCATGTCTGAAAAGACAGTCTCTTTTGTCCTAAAGGATGAGGAGAGGTGAGAAGTAAGCAAGTGCACTGTGGAGGAGAGTATTGGAGTATTGGAGTTGTATTGGAGTATTGGAGAGAGAAGCAGTGGGAAGATGGTGTGAGAAAGCAGGGACTGCCTAACGCCCAGCGTCACCACCTCCTCAAACCAGCAGCTTTAGTTGGGACAATCTGGGAAGTAAGGAGAGAAGGGCGTTGTAACTGCCACAAAAGGACTGTTATTTGGGCTGAGCTTAGGCTGGATAGAGCCATGCAGAGGGCTAGGAGACAGACACAGAATTCAATGAATTCTGTATTTCCATACTTTGCCTCTTCTCCTTCTTATTCTCTCTTTAGGGAGAGATGAATGTACTTTACCATTTCTTGTTCACTAAGACTTTGCTTGCTTTCTATTTTGCCACTTACTTTAAAAGAAACCTGTTTGTCTAAGATGGTCCGTTACAGTACTGATTTTTGTGTACCCTTCAGGTTTAAATATAGTTGACAGAGAGGCATGTGAGTGGTAATATATCCAGGGAGAGAGAGATTTTCATAACTGCCAAGAACATTCTGAACATGAAGACTGGAGCTAGATGGAAAAGAGATTTTGTTGATTCATATTTTTTATAATTTCCCAAAGGCAAAGTAAGATCCAATGAATTCTGAACAAAAGAAAACTGAACCTATAGTAGTCCTTGTGGAGAAAGGGCTGGAGTGAGCGCTTCTAAATTCAGTTACTTTAGGTATTGAGGCAGCTAGGTATCTCAATGGTTAGAGCTCTGGGACTGGGGTCAGGAAGTCTCACCTTCCTGAGTTCAAATGTGGCTTCTGACCCTTACTAGCTGTGTGACCCTGGGCAAGTCACTTAACCCTGTTTCCTCATCTGTAAAGTGAACTGGAGAAGGAAATTGCAAACCATTCCAGTATATCTGTCAAGAAAATCTCAAATGAGGGCATGAAGGTCAGACACGATTGAAAGCGACTGAACGACAACAAACCTTAGATGTCTTCAGTGCTTTTGTTGTCCACACACAAATTTAAAGAGCTCCTTCCCTCCCACCTCCCTGAAGAGGAAGGAAGAGGAAGAGCTGAGACAAAGAGAAGCAATTGATCGGAAGAAGAGTTTGAGGGGATGAGGGACCGTGCCACAGAGAGTGCTGTCGTCTGGGCCTGCTGTATGGAACGGAAGTCCCATCAAGGACCCAAGCCTACGTCCCCAAGTCAATTATATCCCAAGGATGGCTTCAATAACTTTTAAGGAAAATCTTGAGTAGCCTACAGGGTGGATAGGGCTGCTGCTGACACGGGGAATAATTGGTTTTCTTGTTCACAAATATTCTTCTCCCCCCCCACCCCCTGGCTACAAAAAAAAAAAGCTAACTGTGTTCTCTTTACATACTCATTATTTCCATGTCACGATAGATATAGAGTTTGGTTAAATGAATAATTCTTATTTGTTTGTTTTCCTGTTTTTGCTTTTTGGTGAGGCAATTGGGGTTAAGTGACTTGCTCAGGGTCCCACAGTTACCAAGTGTCAAGTGTCTGAAGTTGGATTTGAATTCAGGTCCTCCTGACTCCAAGGCCACAGCTCTATCCACTGCGCCATCTAGCTGTCCCTCTTCTGTGTATTTTTAAAATGTTTTATCAGTTGTGGTTTTTTTTTTGTCACTTTCACTCCTCCATATAACTATCCTTTGCTCCCCAAGCCCTTCCTTGTAACAAAAAAGTATAGCCAATCAAAACATGTCCATACACTGGATGTCTGAAAACGTAGGTCTCATTCTGTACCTGTAGTCCGTGACTTCCCTGGCAAAAGGTGGGTAGCATGATTCATCATTGGTCTTCTAGGGTCATGGTCGTTCTTTCAAAGTTGTTTTTCCTTACAACAATATTGTTATTGTAAACCCTGTAGTTCTGGTTTTGATCACTTTACTCTGAGTCAGCTCATATAAATCTTCCTATGTTTCTCTGAATTCATCCCTTTCCTCATCTCTTATGTCCCTTTTAAAGTTACTTTAAGTTACTTTTGTGCAATTCTTTTTTGTTGCAAAGAAGGCCTCAATGAATGAGGGTGGGAAGGTAGATGGTGATTATATTAGTAAATAATGGATATAAATAACAAAAAGCACCCCCATAATTCCAAATAAAATAAAAAGGCTAAAACAATGTCATTCCTTCAACAGGAACAATGACTCACATGCCACAGTGGCAGAGAAAAATTGTAATGTAGCAGAAAGAACCTAGAAGTTGGGAGACCTGAATTCCAGCCCTAAATTGGCCTCTAATTAATAGTATAAACTTAACCAAATTGCTTCCCCTCTCTGGACCTTGGCTTCCACATCTGTAAAATGAATAGGTTGAAGTAAGTTCGTTCCAGCTGTAATATATGAGTTTGTAATATTTAAATTTTAAAATTTCTTTTCTATGGGACTACTGGTGGTCATACTTGTATGAGACCGTGAAGGGATCTCTCTCCCAGATGAGCAAAGTGAGGCCCCAAAAGGGAAGATGACTTGCCCAAGTCTACCCAGGTCATACAGATACAATGACAAGGGGTGTCTTGGCTGGTGATGGTGGCCTCCTGCTAAAGTCTCCTTTTCCTTTGCAGTGACATGACACTTTGGTAAAACAACAATAACAATAACAACAACAACAACCCCCTCTCCCCAAAACAAAACCTAGACGTGTTCTTTTTTATTTGTAGATACTACATGCGCGGTATTTCCACGTCAGGATAGACACAGAGTTTAGTTAAACGAATGATTCTTGGAGTGAGAAACCAAGGTCATCTCTCTTCCCACCCCACTTCAGATTTAGGCCAAGCAGATGTTTCTTGCTGATAATGCGACTTTTTACTCCCTGGGTAATTAAAAAGCCACACATGGCACACCTTCTGGGACTGAGGCGGGGCTCTAGTTTATCGGTGTGTTCTGAGGACTCATTTAATCTGCAATGACAGATGTTGTCTATGGAGCAAGACGCAATTAAGAATTGGATGATACCACCAAGAGGAAACAGGGACCAAAGGAGGCTGTCCTATAAACTCAATGCAAACTCTTTGAATCTAGAATAAATATATAACATATGACGTGTGATATGTGATAATAATACAATTATTATTATTATTTTCATTTTAGAGACGGAGAAGCTTAGGCTCTGAGGGGTTTTGCCGCTTCTCTGTAGTCCCCAGGCTCTCAATCCATTTATCTTGTCTGTACCCACCGAGCTCAGCAGCGTCCATTGATGTCAGTCCACAGTTGTTTAGATCAATGCTTCTGCTGTGGGACTTCTTTCCCAGCCTCTGCAGGAACCGTTCCATCTTAACTGTATTAGATTCTAAATCTGTTTCTGTACCAAGTGACTGAGACTCTACTGTGGCATAAAAATAAAGAGGGAGTTGTGTTTAGATTCATTCCTTCACTCCATCGGACACCACAGCCTCATGTTGTACACGACGCTGTGTAAGGTACGAGGGTAATACCAATAACAATTGTACTCTAAAGTTTGCACACTGCTTTGCATTTGTAGCATCTTGGATCCCTTTCACTTGAAGATGCTCAGAAAGCTAACCTAAGTTCTAGTTACTTTGCTAGCAGAATCCTCTCTAAATCATAGCTCAAAAGCCCCTATCAATGAACTTACATGTAACTAGAAAGCTAGAAGACACATTATGTTCAAAAGCAAAGGCATTTAATGAAATAGAATAATAGTGGGAAAAAAAGTAACAACAGAACGGCTTCCTCTGTTGCTTACCCTCCCACAAATTGTCTTTTCAATAGGAAAGGGGAACATGTAAAGCATCGCACACAGAACATACATACATAGGGAATGTGTGTGTCCAGGACACCCAGGTACAGGGGCAACTCATTTATCCAGTGCTGCAGAACCACCAATGTTGTAGCACTGTTGTCTGCTATGACTGCTCCTAAATGAATATCCCTAAACACTGCACTCTGTTGGGCATCTTTACTCTATCAGGTCTCCAGTTATGTCCAGGGATGTTTAATACTCTGTCTACCATTCAATGGGAATGTCATGCTTAGTAAGCCTCTCTGTGACAGGGGAAAGCTGCAGCCCTTGCAGCTGATAACTAAGAATCTCTTCCCCTCAGATTGCACCAGAAGGTAGCACATGCCCAAGCTAAGATCATATCTACTCTATGAATTCTGTTCTTGCCTACTTTTCCTTCTTACTCATACAGTTCAACTTTTATTTGACTTATTGTCAGAAGACCATTTTAGTTGTCATTCCTTATTGCAAATCATAATGGGAGAAAATCTCCCCATGGCTCTTTTTTCTAAAATAGGAAAGATGCTGAGTTAAATTATGGTAAGGAAATTACTTTTGATTTCCACCTATCATTATCCTTCATTCTATGCAAATTACCAGGACTTCATTAGTTGGAAAAGATTGAAAAGGCTAAGTAACCTTTTATCCTACCTTGTACCACCACTACTCCAGTACCTCCTAATCTTTCTCTCTTCTCTTTAAAATTTTTACCCAAATAAATAGTTTGCAGTTTTGGAAAATTGCATGGGGCTGCATTTAAACATCTACAACATAACATCATCAGTATCCTGATAGGTGTCAAAATGAATATATAATATAGTTGCTGGTAATTTTTTCCATTAATCATATTATAAGGGCATGCAGTAAACAGGAGCTCTTGTGGCAGTGGAATATTTAGAATATGATAAAAAACATATAGATAGTTAGACCAAAGCATTGCTTGTGCAATAAATAATTCTCAGCATACATTAGTAGTAACATATATATATATATATAACATTGCATATTATCATAGTAGTGACAAAGTAACATATATAATGCACTATGTACATACATCTGCTAGATATAAGCATATGGATATGCTATATGTAGAGAGGCATGATAACTGTGTTATGGCTTGTTTTCAAAGAGGACCAATGATGTCATGGGTGATATAGTAGCATACAATATGACAAATCATAACTTATTTAACACATGATAATATACATTATAATTCTCTCCAAAGCACATGTTACGTGCCAGCATCCCCTGGCTACACAATAATCACTTCTCCAATTTCTATAAAACATCATAAGTAAGTTTAGGAACCAGCTGAATAATCCTGGCACCTGTTCCTAAGTTTGTAGATGGCTCAGACTGACCAACATCATCTGAGAGACAGAATAGTAGAGAGGAAAGGGTGCCAAACTTGGTGTCAAAGCTCCTGCTGTGTGCCAGGCACTGGCTAAGCACTGATAAAGCCAAGAAAGGCAAACGACCATCTTTAAGGCACTCACAGTCTAATGGGGGAGAAAACATGAAAACAACTATGTACAAACCAGACATATAACAGACACATCAGAGGTGACTTCAGAGGGAAAGCACTACATTGGAAAAGGATTCTTACAAAAAAATGAGATTTTAGCGGAGACTTGAAGCCAGGAAATGGAGAAGAGGAGGCATGGAAGACAACTAGTGCAAATGCACAAAATCAAAGGACCTGGGTTCAAATCTTGACTCTGCTACCTGTGTGACCTTAGAAAATTCACTTAACCTATCTGGGTCTCAGTTCGCTAATCTTTAAAAAAAAATGAGTAGAATGAACTAGATACTATCTGAAGTCCCTTCCATCTCTTAATCTATGACTCACAAACCAACTGCCCTATGGCACAACTCCTGAGCTGGAGAAGGAAATGGAGAACCATTCCATTATTTTTGCCAAGAAAACCCCACATGGGGTCACAGACAGTTGGACAAGGCTGGACAATAACAACAACAACAATTATTATTACATTTATTTTGTGTATTTAAAGTCATAATTCTTGTGAATATTTATTTTATTAAAATTTCATTATATTAAGTATTACTATATTAAATAAATATCTGTAGCTACTTTATATGGTATCTGGCTTGGTAGGTATATATAGCTACCATCCCTCCACCTACTTTTTGTATTTATCTGAACAAATACTATTGACTCAAAAAAAAGAAATGTTTTATATATTCTCCTTGAAATATAGATTTTAGCTCCTAGAGTTCTTCACATTTCACCAGCACTTCTGTGATATTTCCAGTTGTTATTTGTATTTACATCTGTAAGACCAGGACTCAGAAGGTTAGTTATTTCTTCCTGGCTACTTACCCTAAAATTAAGATATGGTGCCATCTAGAAGTTAGTGTTGATTTAGTTATAATGGTCTTATCATCAGAACAAACATGCTTTCCACAGCCAGGCCGCAGCACTGACCACTTCCCCCCGCCTCCCACTACATCTCTTTCCCCAGACACACTAGAGGAGGGTCAGCCCTCATTCTTTCCTTTACCTCAGTCTTTGACAACTATATGGCCCTTCCCCTTGCCAAGGCTAACCCCTGTCTATGCTCCCTTAATCCCCTCTCCCCCATCTTCTCCAGCAGGTGACTTCCCCAAACATCCCACTGCTCTCAAATCTTCAACCTCTCCCTAACTAGGGTTTCTTTCCCTACCTCCTTCAAAAAATGTCCAGGTCTTTCCTCATCTTTTAAAAAAACCTTCATTAAAAACCTGAAAAGACTTCCATGAACTGATGCAAAGTGAAGTGAGCAGAACTAGGAGAACATTAATAGCAACACAGTAACAGCAACATTGTGCCGTGATTCTGATTGACTTAGCTCTTCTCAGCAATACAATGATCCAAGACAATTCCAAAGGACTCATGATGGAAAATTCTATCCCTATCCTGAGAAAGAACCAATGGAGTCTGAGTGCAGATCGAAGCACACTATTTTCACTTTCTTTATTTTTTCATTGCTTTTATCCCTTTTGTTTTGTTTCTTCTTTCACAACATGACTAACATGGAAATATGTTTTACATAATTGCACATACGTAACCTATATCAAATTGCATACTGTCTTAAGGAGGGGGGAAGGAAGGAAGAGAGAGAATTTGGAACTCAAAATTTTATAAAAAATGAATGTTAAAAATTGGAAAAAATAAAATATTGTTAAAAAGCTTGTCATTAGACCTTACCATCTACTCAAGCAATCATACCATATCTCTTCTCCCTTTCTCAGCCTAAAACCTACAAAAAGCTGTCTGTATTGCCTCTTCTCACTCACCATTCAACCCTTTGCAATCTGACTTCTAACTTCACTCAATTAAATTGCTGTCTCCAAAGTTACCAGTGATCTCTTGATGGCTAAATCTGATGCTATTTTCTTAGCCTTTAAGTTTTTCAACCAATTTTGAAAGTCATGAGTTTGAATCCTGCCTCAAACATGATAGCTATGACCCTGGAAAAGTCACCTAACATCTTTGAGCCTTCGTCTCTTCATCTGTAAAATGGGGATAATAATAACAACCACCTCACAGGGCTGCTGTGAGGATCAAATGAAGTAGTATATGAACAGTACTTCACAAACCTTAAAGTGATATATAGTATATATATGTTACTTCTTCCTCCTCCTTCTTCTCCTCTTCCTCAACCTTCTTCTTCTTCCTCCTCCCCTTTATTATTATTATTATTATTATCATTATTATTATTATTATTATTATTATTATTATCACCACTTGACACAGTTAACCACTTTTTCCTCTAATACACTCTCTCCTTTCTGGGGTTTTGTGATGCTAGTCTCTTCTGGTTCTCTTCTTCTGTCTAACCAATCCTTCTCAGACTCCTTTACTAGTTCACCAGTCATATCTTGCCCCCAGTCTGTGGGTGTTTCCCAGGTTCTGTCCTGGGCCTCTTCTCATTTCTCCCTTTACATTCTCTCTCTGGGTGACTTTCTCTAGGCTAAACATCTCCAGTTGCTTCCCAATATGATCCCAATATGGCTCCCTCACCATCCTGATTGCCCTTGTCCTGATTCCCTCCAAGTTTTCACCAATGTTCTGCCCCAAACTTAACACAAAACTCCAGATGTGATCTGACCATGGCAAAGTTCAATGGGAACTTCACCTCCTAATTCCTGGGAGCTATGCCTCCTGTAATGCAACCCAAGATGGCATTAACTCTTTTCAATTGCCAAAAATGGAAGATAATTTCACTGATTACCAGGCTGCCTTCTTTTAAATCAAGGGTTCTTAACCCAGGGTCCATAGTCTGGGCTTATGGATAGATTGCAAAGGATCTGTAATCTTAAATAGGAAAAAATATAGCTTTATTTTTGCAATCTTCTAAGTGAAATTGAGCATTTCCTTCAGTTATTTAAAAATATTATTTAGATGCGGGATCCATAGACTTCACCAGGCACTGCCATGGGTGGGTTAAGGACCTCTGTTGTAAAGAACAAATTCCAACAGGATACAAGAAAAACCTTCCACAGTTATAAGATGGCCCCTTAGTACAACCTTTCACATTTTTCAGAATTAAGTTGTCATTAAAAAACAATGCAAAGTTAGTTAGAGGTTACCTGTTTCTGAGGTGGCTGGTGTCTCTGAGATGGTCTCAATTTTGGTTTCAGTCCCGGCCTCAGTCTCCACCTCCTTATCAGGTTGAGAGTCGGTGGTTTCCAGCTCACTCTTCTCCTTTGGACGGTCAGTTTTGGGAGGGTTGAGTCTAGACCCCTTGAACAATCTGCTGACCAAGGAGCTCTGGGACTTCCCCTGTTTCTCAGAGGATTTTTTCCCCTGTAGCTGGTTCATGAATAAGTTAAAGGGGGATTTTCTCGAGCTGACTCCTTCTGGTTTCTCGCGTTTAGATTCTGAGAGAAAAAAAGTAAAGATACTGGCCAAAAGCATTAAATCTCCTATCCCCCAAGAGCCAAGCATCCATGTTCTTCCCTCTTCATTTTTATCACTAGTATTGTCTGAGGCAAACACGGATGTGATTAATGCAGGCTCTGGAAACCAAGCCTGGGTCTGGCTTGACTAAATCTAAATCAAACTTTACTTTTTTGCTTTATTCCCAATGTTGTATCAGTTGTCACCAGTCCTAACCTGGGCACGCAACGTAAGTCTCTGTCTTTTTAGAGGCACTCCTCATTCCATTACGTCCACTTCTCTGGGCCTCAGTTTCCTCACTTTTAAAATAAACATGTTGAGCTAGATGATGGTTCTTGCCCGCTCTAGCTCCAGAATCCTTGTTAGGAATCAGATAAAAAGTAATTTCTTAAGGGCTTACTATGTTTGAAGTACGAGACTAGGGTTGGGACCGTTGATTTTTATTTTCACTTCACTTCATCTGGACAAAAATGTTGGGAGAGGAAGGGGAGTGGCCAGCCTTGAAAATCTTGAAGAAAACCCTACAAAGACCTTTATTTTAAAAAACGACAAAGAAAAATGGAAGAAAAAAGTCTTCTGCATTCAAATCTCGCTTTTGAAGAGTTAAAAGGAAATGAAAAGGTGTAGCAGGATGTGGTCCTGTTTACAAGGGAAACCACACCTACCCACCCACCTTGTGGTGCTGGGCTAAACCCAGAGGTAAAGGATAACCTCATTGTAGAGTAGAATGGGCGTGGAGCCAAGGAGTCTGAGGATTTAAAACTTAAAAACTTCATGGGCCCAGCCCCATGAACTGGCAAGTGAGGAAAATGAGCCAGAGATGGGAGCAATAAAAAGGAAAACGGGGCAAAAAAAAGGAATGACCACTCATAACAATGAGGGGATGAATGGAGAAGAAAAAAGAATCTGAGAGACTGGGAAGAATCATCACAGGATTTCTGAGCTGGGGGGGGGGGGGCTAATTAGGGAGTCAATCAATGTGTCACAGTTTCTCTATTTACAAAACGAGGAGGAGATACCGGATAATATCTAATATCCTTTCTGGCTCATATCCATGAACGCCCAGCATGTACCTGTTCTTTTCCCTACCTTCTTCCACCCTAGTGGCTCAACAATTATTATTTTACAGAAAGGGAAACTGAGGCACCCAGAACAAGTACTTTATCTAAAGTTGCACAATTAGGAAGGGGAGGGTGCATAGACCATCAGACACCTGGACTTACCAAAATGCTTTTTCAGTGTTAGCAAACCTTCATTTATAATTAAACCAACAACAATCACTGGCATTTCTAAAGTATTAACAGCTTGTAAAACATTTTTCCTTGCAGAAGCACTGTGAGGAGATAAATTAGGTATTGCAAGCATTATTTTCCCCATTTTGCAGAAGTGGAAATAGGGATATTATTGAGGAAATATGTGATTGAGAAAACAAAGTGGGCCAGCCAAAAGGAGGGAGAATGGGATTATTGGTCAGTGTGAATATTCCATTGGTGTTGTTTCTGTTCAGTTGTTTCAATCGTGGCTGACTTTTCATGACCCCATTTGGGGTTTTCTTGGCAAAGACACAGGAGTGGTTTGCCATTTCTTCTCCAACTCATTCTACAGATGAGGAAACTGAGGCAAATAGGGTTGAGTGACGTGCCCAGGATCACACAACTAGTAAGTATCTGAGGCCAGATTTGAATAGAGGGAGATGAGTCTTCCTGACTTGAGGCCTGGTACTTTATCCACCGAACCACCTAGCTGGGTGCTAAATAGGGTTTTCATTTTTCCTGCACAGAAAAGTTCACAAATGTGAAAGAATGGAAAAGTACAACCTTGTAGGATAACGCACGTGGCGAACTAGGCGGTAGATGTTTGAGGTATGTGTGTATGTGTGCTTTGTGTAATCCTACTTGGCTCAGTTTGTTTTCTGCGGTGACATAGTGTTTCTTGCAGATGAAATAGTGCATAAGCAAATGCAAAATTTATGTTATCTTGAAATTGTTCTCCAACATATCAAATGTGTTGGAACAAATTTGCATTTTGAAAACAAGCGTTATACTGGAACTGACAGTATGTATATCTTGTATATGCTTGGTTACTTACATAGTGTCTCTGATCCTCCTCCATTGAATGTGAACTCCTCGAAGGTAGGGACCATGTTTTTGCCTTTCTTTGTATCTCTAGACCTTAACACAGAGTCTAGCCCATACTAAATGTCTAATAAATGCTTGTTGACTGACTGACAGAAACTTTTTTTGTGTGGTAGTAAGACTGAATGCAAAGTGAGAACCCATCCATAAGAATGGTGGCAGATGAATGTACATAATATTGTCGTGATGAAGCATGAGAGGTTGTATGAACTGGTGCAAGGGGAATAAAGCAGAGCAGGAGAATAAGACATGTGATGACTGCAATGGATTTGGAGTTAGAGAGGACCTGGGCTCACATCTACATTCTATTTACTGCCTGTGTGACCTGGTCACTTCCCTTCCTTGGACTTCAGTTCATTAATCGGTTAAATCAGAGAGATTAAACTCGGCTTTCTAAGGTACCTTCCAGCTCTAAATCTCAGATGCTATGAACATATGATGAAGCACATCCCTTCCCTATGAGAGAGGTGGAGGTCTATGGGAGCAGATTGCCTCATATATTGTCAAACACAGTTCCAGCATATTTCCCCCAAATAATATTTGTTACAAGGAAAAGTTCCACGGTTGGGGCCTGGGGCAGGAAGAATGTTGAAATAACTATGGTGCAAAAACAAAAACAGGAATAGAACAATGAAAAAACCCAAAGGGCTAACATTTCTACTAATTTGCTTTGTTTTCCAGAAATAAAATGCTAGATTTTCAATAGATGAGCTTTTTGATGAGACAACATCAGAATAATGGATTTTAATCAGTAATTTTCCTTGCACAGAAATCATCATTCTCTGTTTCTCTTTGCCTTCCTGCAGCCCTCTGTCTGTCTCTTTTTGTCTGTTTCTCTCTTTGTAACAGGCAGAGAAAAGTGACTTACCTTCTTCCATCTTGTGGGTGAGGTTAAAACGTGTTAGCAATTCAGCAAGTGTGGTTTCAGGACCTTGAAAAATGTCTATCCCAGCTTCTGGGATAAAAACATGCTTTTAGAGTGGCTTGTCCAAGAGAACATGCATTTCCTGGATGGTTCTTTTGACCTTAGTAGCTCAATTCCAAAGCCACCAGGCTGTCTGTGACCTGCACTGGCTGGACTTCAGCAGCCTGACTCTGACCACTAGCCTTGGAGAAAAGCCAGAAGATGTGACTGCAGAGAGGTCCTGAAAATCGAGCTTCTTGGGAAGTCTTCTGACTTTGTAAGGTGGAAAAAAAGTAGAACCCCGCCTCCCCCTCTCCAGGAAGTGATAGGGAGGAGTGACTTTTTTACCTGTAGAAGATTGCCAGGAATGGGGTGAACCAGACTGACCCATGACGATGAAGGCCCCAGGATTTCTGAAGGCTGCCTGAGAAGGGAACACGTTTTGATTTTTTCACCTTTGTACCAGCCTTGGGAAGGCAGGTGATAACCGTAAGCCCTACCACACTCCTCTCCACAAGGATTCTTGCAAATAATCTGCAGCAATAGGTCTTTAGGTCAATTGTATTCTTGTTGAAAGAGCAGGGCGGAGAAAGAATGGAAATGAACAAATATAATGAATATTGTTGCACCTGAAAGGAATGAAAAATACGAGGAATTCAGAAGGACTCGGGAAGACTTGGATGAATGATGCAGAGAGAAGGAAGCAGATGATCAGCATACACACTCAATGACTACAGTCATACAAACCAAAAGAACAGTCAGAGGAACCCTAATGCTATGTAATTTATATATATATATATATATGTGTGTGTGTCTGTATATATGTGTATGTATATAAATAACTGTATTGTACATTATATATAATAATATAAATGATACAATATATTTTATGATGATTTGTTCAGTCATTCCCTATCTCATGGGCAGCCTCTTGGTTTCCAGTTTCTTTGCTATTTCAAAAAGGGATGCTAGAAATCTTATTGTATAGGGACCATTTTTTTCTTTCTTTGATCTCTTTGGGGGTATAGGTCTAGTAGTGGTTTCATGGGTTCAAAAAATGCTCATTTTCATGACTTTTAGGGTATGGTTTAAATGGTTTTCCAGAAGAGTTGGTCCAATTCATACCTCCAATAATGCATTCATGTATCCACAGTTTTCCCACAGCTCCTCCGACATTTGTCATCTTCATCTTTTGCCACCTTGGTCAGTCTGATGGAAATGAGCGCTGGACCTCAAGTCAAGAGGACCCCAAATTTGAATCCTGCCTCCCACACTAATTTATTAGCTGTATGACTGTGGGTGTGTCTCTTAACCTTTGTCTGCTTTAGTTTCCTCATCTGCAAAAGGGGAAAAATAATAGCACCTACCTTTCAGGGTTGGTCCCGGGAATCCCAGTCCCTGCCCTGTGGTGCGGGGTCTCATGCTGCAGGGTCCCCATCCCTGATGTGTGTCGGAGTTTCCCATGTGCCTTGACAACCTATATTCTTTCTAGCAGTTCATATACTATTGGCCTTGAACTTTTGATGCCCAAGAGGGGTGGGTAATGCCTACTCTTTTGTCCTGGGTCTGATACAATGATGAGTGGGGAGTCACCAGCTATAATCCTTCGGGTTAGATGGTAGCCAATCATATCCTAGCCCTTCCTTGTTATCTTCCTGGGATTTGCTATACAGGACTCTTGGAGACTTGCCATTCACCCTTCTGATATGCCTTCCAGTCCCCAGAGTCCTGCCATCTGACCTGCTGTTACACTCTGAGAACTCCTGGCCCTTCTCATCTGCGCATTTACATGTCTAGTCTCTTCTGATTAGAATTTGAGCAGAGACTGACTCACATTTCTATCTCTATCTCTAGCACTTAGAAAGCACTTAATACATGATTTTTTTTCCCATTCATTCATTCATTCACCTGAGGGACCTGCTATAAGAGCAGGCTAGAGGAGGGGGAAGAAAAAGAAAATGTTCTATTGACGTAGGAGCATAGACTTGGATGGAGCTGTCCAGGAACCTTGATGGTCATCTAATCCAACCCCTTATTTTTTTACAGTTGAGGAAACTGGGCCTAGAGAGGTGAAAGAGAGGACCAAAGTGACACAGGTAATAAGTGATTGAGGGGGAATTTTAATTTGGGACTCCTTTCCAAATCCCTCTAAGTTCTAGTGCCTTTCCTTGCCAATTATTTCCTGCTTATCTTATATGTAGCTTGTTTGTCCATGGTCATTTGCATGTTATCTCCCTCATTCCATTGGGCTCCTCAAGGTGTCTTTTACTTTTCTTTGTATTCTCAGCACTTAGCACAGTGACTGGCCCATAGTAGGAGCTTAATAAATATTTATTGACTGACTGACAAAGGCACTGCTCCTCACACACCCTGTGACACTCACACCGTACATAGTTAGTTCCTCCTTATATACAAACCCAGCGGTGGCCCAGGGAGCAGCCACAATCCAGGGGTTGAGGGAGAATGGAGGACCCTCCCTCACTTAGATCCTTCAGAGTTCACGAGAATGATAGCATTTCTGACCACCCCCTGGAGGGTTTGAATACTGAGGTTTTTATCCTTTATGTCTCAAGGAGAGGGATGAGGGCATGTTCTGTAAAACTAAGCTGTTGGTTTAGTCACACACCTTGCCTTATCTTCTGTCAAGAGATTAACTTGGAATTTTGTACTTTGCCTCAAGGTGACTTCTTAATGCAGTACAAATTCCTGGGGAATAAGACCATTAGAAGCTTAGTGTGATAAGTTGACTTTGGCGATGGGAGGGGGTCAGGAGGAAGAAAGAAAAAGGAGGTAGTAGATAGAGCACAGAAATCCTCCTAAGAGCAATAAATCATGGCAGGATTTTCTCTCGGTTTTTATAGGTTCTATTCTAAAAAATGGAAATATGAGGGGAAGCCTGGTGTAATAGGGAGGGCAATAGCTGTAAGGCCTACCTTACAGGGTTGTTGAGAGGACCAAACAAGAAAACGTTAGCAAAAGTGTTTTAGAAACCTTAAGACCCTGTGTGTGCCAACTAATGATAATAATGATAGCAGCATCCATTCATGTAACACCTTAGAGTTTGTGAAATGCTTTGTGAATGGTTTGTATTAGGTAGATTTATTGCTTTCTTTGTCTATCTCAATTTATATTTAATATGGAATGTCTTGTAAATTTTAATTCCCAGAATACTAATGAAATTTTGATTTAAATGTAGAAGAGGATAAAGATAGAGGCTATGATGACGTAGCAGAAACAACATTGGACTTGGAGTCAGGAAGATCTGGGTTCCACTCCTGCCACAGACACTGTTTGACCTTAGGCAAATCATTTGTTTCTCTCTGGGTCTTAGTATTCTTATCTATAAAATGAAAGCTGGATTTGATGCCCTCCTAGGCCCCTTTCTGCTCTAAATAAATCTATGATCTTATGATCATAGTCAAGGATTGAATTTTTAAAAAAAATCAGATTTCACTTCCTTCAGAGAAAATGTTTTATTCTATTTGCGATAGAAAGCCTTAACATATTAGTATATTGAAGTATGTTATGTGAGCTAGAGAAATTAATTTAAAGACTTTGATGCTAGAATAACAGTTGAGAGTTTGTGAGGACAGCTTTGAAGAACTAGAAAATTCTAATTGACTGAATTTATGCAGGGAGTTTTACTTGAATGGTCAATCTGTTGAGTTCACCTAGGGCCTATAAGTCCAGTAAAGAAGTAACAGCAACATTTAATAAGTAGTTGTGACACTGCACCTTTTAGTATAAGAGGCATTGAATTCAGTGACCTAAGAAATTTTGTGTTGAAGAAGACTGTAGGAGTCCTAGCCTGAAGAACGTTTTAGTGACTCCTAGGGTTGGAGGCTAATAGAGAAGGGATCTTGGAGATGATCTCCCATGTAGCCCCTAGAGGCACTATCACTTTCACTTGGATTCAAAAGAGAGACATATTTAAGATACTTTGTGGCTCCAAGTAAACTCCAAACCACAACTCATTAGCTCCCCTCATTGTGTTTACTTCTATTAGTCAGACAGAGGAAACAACTTGTTCAAAGCAAAAGTATTTAATGAAAGAGCATAGTAACAATATAACAACTTTCCCACAAATAGGGGAGCACAATGTTCCACAAATACAGACACAATCAGTGGGAAGAGTACACACATACATAGGGAGCACACATTTGGAGAACATGTCTGAGCCCACACCCATAGGGAACTTGTGTAGCAAGGGCACACTAGTCATATAACTTTTAACTCTGCAGATGATGGCATCTCATTGCTCCCACTAATCTTGTGATTAATTCTAGGTATGTAATCTCTGCTAGGTATTGCCCTGTTGATCATGGTCCCTGCTAGAAACATGATTAGCTTGTAAATTCCTTTTGTATTCTCGGCACTTAGCACAGTGACTGGTACACAGCAGGAGCTTAATAAATGTTTATTGATTGATTGATTGATTGATTGCAGAATTTTTCTCTGCTAGTAGCTTCTGGTTTCAGCCAGAATCCTCAGCTGAGGTTCTCCTTCTTCCCCATAAAAGGCAGAGCTGGCTCTGTTATATCACTTTTAGAGTCCTAACACTTGCATTTCAGTTCAGAGGGAAAGGCAGACTGTTCACACACTCAGTCAATGGACAAGGCAAATAGCATCAGCTGTTTTCTTTCCCTAAGTAGAGGGACCTGTGGATACACAAAGTCAGAGTCTGCAGAGGTGAGTTTTTGGTCCACAAATCTGCCAGCCATCAAAGTAGAACTTAGAGGTGCTTCTTCTGTCTTTGGACATACTCCCTCTTGATATCAATGTGAGGGCTTCTGTTCCAGTACTCTTTTTGACTTAAGGTTAGGAAGTCCTTGTAACTACTCTTTCATTTCTGATCCCTTCAAAATAATTTCAAGGGCTGCCTTCCAACAAGTGGCAAAGGGTCAGTCTAGGTATTAAGAAATGGATTTTTAAAATTCCTCCCCTCCCTCTAGATCTTTCAGGTCTCTTATGACTGAAAAGGAAAGAGAAAAGCAAGAACAAATAAAGCAGATGGAGTCTCTACAAGATGTCACCAACCACATCAGTCTTTTGTCCTAAATTCCTGCCTTTATCTTATATACACAAGAATAGCAAGAAGCTGTCCTTCACACAGATTTAGAAACCCAAGCCCAAATAAGTTGTGACTTGCCCAAGTCTGCATACTACGACCTGGAATTTGAACCCAAGCTTTCCGAGTCTAGACCTAATTCTCTTCCTACTACAAAATACTGATTCTTGAGGAGCCAATGGGTCA